CCCACAAACAGCACACAGTCTGTGCAAGAGGGGCTTCTCAACATACCATTCTGTGCTTTGGGCACTGCAAATACGACTAGCTGGAATGAAGTTTCTGAAAGTATGCTTGGTGTACTCTAGTGATATTCTTGAAAATAGAGAGGTGACAGTTGGAGGACATCTCTGTACAAGAAAATCCCAGTGCTCAAAATACAGGTGCCATGTGACTATTTCTAAAGAACTCCAAATTTCACAAGGAATATTGATGATGACACTGCTCTTCTGAATACCCTCGCAGGGTCATTCTGTCATGTTTAAACACTTTTAACAGAAGAAGAACTGACAAAAAAATAATTAAACAGACAGCTAAGAACATCACTAAATAACATGGTGGAAGATTTTTCTAAGGTAGCATTAAACCACAAGAAGCAGAGTCCATGATGATGATAGTCAGGTAACTAGCTATACTAAGCCCAGCAGTTCAAAACAGCAGTTTATGGAGAAGCACAGCAAGCAGGAGAGACTAGAGTGGAGCCAAACACTAACTGATCTCAGAAATATAACACACCATCAGCAGTGAACTTTCATTATGCCAAAATCTGAGCAGGCTTTTCAAGGTGACAAGTGATGTTGTGCAGGAAGAAGTTACGGTTTTATTAATTTTGCTGGAATCAAAATCTTCCAGAAGTAAGAGAAATGTATTTTGACTTGAAGCATTGCATGGTGAGAAAAATCAAACTGTCTAGTATTAATTAGTATTAATTCTTATATATTATTCCTAACAATAATGATGTCCAAAAGGAAATTTAACAGGTAGCTCCATGAACAGAAGAGTAAATGGGACCTGGATCCCCATTGCTCTGTGTCTTAGTGTTGGTTGGCTTGTGTATTTAAGAAGGTGAGAAGCTTTGCCTGCAGTTAGGTGTTTTTAATGTCTTTCTGTCATATGGTTCCACTGTTATCTAATAGTGGTTCAGCTCCTGCTGCAATCTTGCTTGCAACAAGAACTTTTACAGAATCCTTCTTTTTGCCCATCTACTTTCATGAAACTGGTAGTGCCTTAATATCTGTGATATACCCCTCTGAAAGTTTGGTCACAGTGTTCAGTGGTTATTGGACAGAGGGAAAACACCTTCCACGTGCATACATGCATGTATACACACAGAGCACGATCCCATGCCCTTAATTTCCTAAGCAAATCATCCAGACAAAAATAAAGTTTTTCAAAATGACAAATCATAACACTGTTCCCAGAAAAGGCCAAACTGGAACAAAAAAAGACAAAAATTAGGTTTTGCAGATTGTTTTGAAATGGGTATGTTTGTTTGTTTGTTTTTACCAATGGCCAGCTATTCTCTGGCAAGGTTTCCAAACCTTTCCCTGTGTAAGCTAAAGAGAACAGAGCTAATTCTTCCAAACCTAGTCCTGGCACTACACAGGAGTACTGTTGAGCATGAACTCCTCTTCATCTGCAAACTCAGCTCAGCTGGTGTAGGTACACCCAAGCCCCACACAGTCTGAAACTGCACACTGAAGCAAGGAACCACTGGAAGCCTGAGAGCTGCCAGGGCAAATTGCAAAGGGTCTTGCAGCACTGCTGAGCAGTGTTCACTGGGCCCCCAGTGCTCTCCTACCTCACTTCCAGTTGCTTTTGCCCATTCTTGCATTTGCCTACAAGGATGAGACCCCCCTCAATATGTATTTCCACAACTTAGTTGAGAGAGGGGGGCAGCATCTCTCCAAGTGCAGGGCTTGATATATTTGTCTCTTACCTTTCTATAGAGGGAAATTCATCCCACCGATCTCTCAGTGCTGTGGCCCATCCACATGAAAAGGAGCAGAGAGGGACAAGCAATACAGACACTTCCAACAACACCTCACAGAGGTGTCCAGTGATGGAAATAAGCCCAATACCAGCACAAGGAAGGAATCGTCTGGACCCCATAGGGCAGTCTGAGGTTTGTTCAGGGAGATTCAGGGCCTTTTTAACTTAGGTGTGCTGGAGAGATGTGAATCTTGTACTTCCTGCTATTAAACACTAAATCCCACTGATAGTTGTTTGGGCTAGGATAGAATTAATTTTCTTTATAGTAGCTAGTATGAGGCTGTATTTTGGATTCATGATGAAAACAGTGTTGATAATGCAGAGATGTTATCATTATTGCTGAGCAGTGCTCACACAGAGTCAAGGTCTTTCTGCTTCTCACACTGCCCCACCAGCGAGGAGGCTGGGGGTGCACAAGAAGTTGGGAGGGGACACAGCTGGGACAGGTGACCACAGCTGGCCAAAGGGATATTCCATACCATATGACATCATGCTCAGCATATAAAGCTGGGGGAAGAAGAAGAAAGAGGGGGGACGTTCGAAGTGATGGTGTTTGTCTTCCCAAGTAAGCGTTACATGTGATGGAGCCCGGCTGTCCTGGAGATGGCTGAGCACCTGCCTGCCCATGGGAAGAGGTGAATGAATTCCTTGGTTTGCTCTGCTTGCATTTGCTTTACCTATTAAACTGTCTTTATCTCAACCCACGAGTTTTCTCTTTCAATTCTTTCCCTCATCCCACCAGTGGGGAGTAAGCGAGTGGCTGTGTGGTGCTTAGTTGCCAGCTGAGGTTAAACCACAACAATATCACAAGAATAGAGTCACAGAGCCAGTGAGATGAGGGACCACATAAGACCCAATGGAGATGGGACACAGTTCTACGGGAAAAGAATAAAATATGCTCTCTGAGTTTGGAACACATTTATGTACCTTTGTAGCTATGAGAAAAAGCAAACACCCACAGTTCTGTCTCTGTTACACATCACAACCCCACCATGTTCCATGGAACTAATTTGATTTTATGTGTGAAAAATCCAGAAGAAAAACATTTAGCCTTTTTCTTCAGGTCCCCTTACTGTGATTTAGGACATGGGCATCATACAGATTTGCTGCTAGATTTCCTAAGACGGAAACATCTGAATGGGAGTATCCAGCCTTTCTTGCCATATCAGTCATGATGATGTTTGAAAGACAATTTGCTTAACACTCCTGTAAAAAGAATCAAATTTGTCATTTGAAACCAGAGTGACGTACATTTCCTCATAGTTGCTTGTTTCAGTTAAGAAACATGATTTGTTTTCCAACACATGTTATCACTTGCTGTGTTTACATTATGTCAAAAATGATAAAGAAGCAGAATCAAAACTATATTAAGCCCATGTAGTTAATACTTTAAATGCATGTTATTGTTTGAATGGTTTGAGCAACATAACACCTGAAAGACTGCAAACAAGTGACTTTGGGCATGGAGCTCTGAGCAGCACAAGTTGTGGGTCTGGTCAGGATGCTGCTTATGTCCTTCCTGTGACAAAGTGGGTCATGTTTTTTGACAACATGTATTTTTGCCAGACAACACCAGTTTATTGCACTGTGTAGGAAGGTGCTGGTTTTGACTGAAGCTTTGTCGGGATGGTTTCTCATCTTTCATGTGGTCAATAGCAAAATAGGGCAAACATGTGAGATAATCAATAGCTCGATAGCCTAATTGGTAGGGGTACAGGATAGTTTTCTTTCTTACTCTTCCTCATCAGGACATCTGGAAGCTGTTACTCATTGTATAAGTAATTAAAGAGCAATTGGGCCAGAGAGACTGACGCCCTAATCTGCTGTGGTGAGATTAGGACATGCCACTTGCACCACAGTGGCCAGTTTCTGTATGTTCAGGGACATTTATACTCCCAGGTGCCAGACGAACACAGGCATGATTTCACGATTTCACAGCTCAATAACCTTGCCAGACTGGACTTCCACCTGCACCCCCTCCTTCCAACAAGCACTCAGAAATACCTCCAAGTGGCCTGCCAAATGCAGAGCTCCCATGGTGAGAAAAGTGCTCTGTGAGCTGGGTTTAGCTATCAGGTATCTGGTCAATCATTTCTCTCTAAGATACAGAAGGCTGCTAAAAACTGTGTCCTAAATTGGTCAGATGCAGGAAGGTCAGAGCGTCTTGTGCTCAACACAGAGCACTTGGAGCAAAGACCAGTTCCAGCAAATCCAGCTGTGGATAAGAGTCGGGAGAGACTGAGCAGGAAAGAGACTTATCTACCAGCCATGAAGGAATTTTTATCCCCAAACTGGTGCTGATAGGAATTTACCTACAGCACTTTGCCAATGCATAATTCAAGCCGGAAAGCCGCTGGGCAAAGCTACTGAGCTCTGCTGCAAGGTGTGCTGTGGGCAGTTGTGCTGCTGTCAGGCCCATCTCAGGCACTTTTGGCATCCTTAAATCCTAATCCCCCATCTGGGGTTACTAACATGGCAAAGTGACCAAATGTAGTATTTGCTGTGTTAGCCCCAGATGTGCTACTAGCTATAGAAACAGGCCCATTGCTACTACTTGACACCCATGGCCTTGAAATCTTGTCGGTGTTTTTGATGCATTCCCCTCTGGGTAAGATATGTGAAGCTCCATCTGTAATATTCCTGTGCACTTTGACTCTTGAACCTGCGATTAGTTGAAGAGTGTTAGCAAAACTTTGGTGAGCACAGCGCAGGTAGTGGAGCTTACCCATCGCATAACTGCAGGTGTTCAGCAACTCGCCTTGGCAAGTCTGCTGATACCTCTCTGATTCAGTAAGTTATCTCCCTGATTGCTCAACCCATAGAAATGTATATATTAAACCATATTTTCACCTTCTTCATTTGGGGAGATGGTGGCATCTGCTAACGAAGAAGGGTGAGAAATAATGAAGAAGCGTAGGGTGAATTGTCTTTCCTCCAAAAACCTCGGACCGTGACCCAGGTTTGTGGTGTAACCCCGTTCAGGAGGGGCTCTGCAGTGGGGGCACCCCGCCGGGGCCCGGAGGCGTGGGGCGGGCGGCAATAGCCCGGGATGGCCCGGCCGGGGCCGCGCCGCCGGGGTCGCCGCCCCTTCCCGCTCCGCGGGGGCGCTCACCGCCGCGGGGAGGAGCGGGCACCGGGACCGTATAAGGCCCGCCCGCCGTCCCGGCTCTGGCACTCGCACTGCCGCTCCCCGGAGGCACACGGGCGGAGACCTGCGCGGAGCTCACCGCGCCGCACCGCACCGCACCGCGCCTGCCCCGGCGGGGCGCACCGCACCGCTCCGCTCCGCACCTGTCCCGACAGGGCGCACCGCACCGCACCGCTCCGCACCTGTCCCGACAGGGCGCACCGCACCGCTCCGCGGCTGCCCAGCTGGGCGCACGGTACCGCGGTACCCCCGCGAAGTCCCGTCCCCAGCCCCTTTCCTCCCGCGCCGGCTGCTCCGCGCCGGCCCTGCGGGGGCAGGAGCTGCCCCTTCTGATTTTGGGGCACATCCCTGGCGCCGAGGGTGAGTCCCTCCGATAGCATGGGGCGCTTCACCGTCTGGGACTATGTGGTCTTCGCGGCCATGCTGGTGATCTCGGCCATCATCGGGGTCTACTACGCCTTCGTGGGAGGGGGGCAGAAGACATCTAAGGACTTCCTCATGGGGGGCCGCAGCATGACGGCCCTCCCTGTCGCACTGTCGCTCACTGCCAGCTTCATGTCAGCTGTCACCGTGCTGGGCACCCCTGCTGAGATTTATCGCTATGGTGCCATCTTCTGCATCTTCGCCATCACCTATGGCCTGGTGGTGCTGTGCAGCGCTGAGATTTTCCTGCCTGTCTTCTACAAGCTGGGCATTACCAGCACCTACGAGGTAAGGTGGAGTGGAAGAAGCCTTTTCACAGCCTTCAGGGAGCTGGGGGCTTCTCATGCCTGCTTTCTACATGTCTGTCCTCAGTCTCTGCTCCCAAGTCCCTCTGCATTCTGTGCTGCCCCATATCTCCACACTCCCAAGAGCAGGCTGCAACGTGCTCTGTCCCCAGGTCTGCCCACACTGCCTCCGCAGAGAGGAGATGCTCAACCCTGCTGTCTTGGCTCGGGAGCTGTGCATTGTGCCACATTTGTTGCTTCACTCCAGATACTCAGTTCAGCAGGTGGATTAATCCTCATGCAGCTCGGATGGTGACATGTGGTTAATGATGTGTAATTAATATACCAAGAGCAGAGTGCAAGAGCGTCTAACATAGGAACCAAAGTTGTCCCATCACACTCCCCCCATATAGGTTTCTAAGCTTAGGTGCAGCCACAAAAGTCCCCTCTGGCAGATTTTATATTTGTGCTGTTCCTAGAGATTTGGGGGAGACACCCTTTCTACCCAAGGCTGTTCACACTGGTGAATGTCTTCTCCATCATGCTTGCACAGGGAGGTCAGTGAGTGCTCTGTGTCTGAGAGAGTTTTCTTACTCCCACCGAAATATGACTGAGCTGGTCTTCAGCTCAACATGTAAGTTAAACCTGTAGCTAGAAGCGCAGAGACATATGAAGTAGTGGGACAATCACAGGTCAAGTCTGAGTGTTTTGGGGTGAGGAAGCATCTGGTCAGGACTTTCTTCTGATTTAGAAGGTCTGTGCAACTTGTTTATCTTCCTGCATGGAGATAGATCTTAGCTGTATATTTGGAGGCAAATTGCTCTTTCCACAGGGAGCATTGGGAAAGGGGCATCAGTGCAGGTGAAAGTCCTTGGCTAGCTACTTTGGTCTTTGGCATTTTATTACACTTAACAGGGGTGTTGCAACACTGGAGGCTGAAAACAAGGTTTCTGTTGGTAGATTTAGATAAGAAATCACCAACAGAAATCTCTGGTGGCTTCCAGTGTGTTTTAAACTACTAATCTTTGGACTGTCAGTTATGTTGATACTTTAAAAAGGGCTCTTTTAAATAAAGACTTAAAATTATGACTGGAAATTCACTGATAATCTTGGGGTTAAATCAGAATAATGCACCTATAAAAGATATATCTTCTGTTTGTGGACAGAGTTCAGAGATTAAACAACTTTTTGTGTCTGTCCAGAGGTTCAGTACTGCTTCCTTGCATGGACATGCTCACAGAATGCATTTTAAATGCTCGATTCACAAGTGAGCACTTTGAGACACTTCAGTGTTTGTCTGTGTCAGTTGAATGGATTGTCAGGGAAAGGAGATCCCTTTTGTACAACCACACACCCTAGAGGGTTGTTGGGACAGATGGTGGGAAGAAATCCGCCCTACAGCATGACAAACTCATTCAGAGTGCTGTCCCAGGCTAGACAGAAAAGTGAGGGTTCCTCTTTTGCAAAAGGCTAGATTTCCATTTACCAGTAGAATACAATGAACTGCTTTGGGCAGTGCAGAAGGTGAGGTTACCACGGGAGGAAGCCACTGACCACTGAGAACCTTCTGCCCTCTCTTGCAGCACTTCAGATGGACACACATAATGCCAGAGTTTCCAAATCGATTAAGGCTTAGGAATAGCTGTAATGTTTTCTTTTTCTTTTTGATTTCACAACACAAGTGGTTTCTGTTGTTTGCTGTGAACCTTTAGGTTTCCCTGTGTGGAGTCAAGAGTTAGACTCAATGATCCTTGTGAGTCCCTTCCAACTCAGGATATTCAGTGATTCTGTGATAATATGTGCTGGTCTTTGCTAGGTCACGGTGCACAGCTCCTTGGCTATTGAGTGCTCTAAGGAAGCTGAGTAGCACCAGTTTCCATTCTGCAGATGCCGTCATACACTGACTAGCATATGTCTACTTCACTTGCTTGTCTGTTATTACTCAGTGGTGAAGTCTGTAAAGAAATATCAAATCAAGTTGAAAGATATCAATCAAGGCGATCCTAGGAGTTTTGGTCATTCATGAAAATGCAAAAATGACACTGTGCCCTTTCTGTATTGCTCATCGCTTCGCTCTAGTCCTATCAGTAGTGCTAAATTTCAATATAAACATTTGGTTTTTATTCTCTTTTGCAGTATTTAGAGCTTCGATTTAATAAATACCTGCGCCTCTGTGGAACGGTCCTCTTCATTATACAAACGGCAAGTAAACCTCAAAGCTGTTCTGTGGTCCTTGTGGCCATTAGGATTCTTCATCTTAGTGTAACTGGCTGTTTTCTCTGAATGGTTGATGAGGTTACCACAGTGCATGGGTGGTTGGGAGTGGGGGAAACAAAGCTCTTTCTGCTCCAAAGCAGTGAGGTGGGGTGCAGATGCTGGGCTACCTGCCCCTTGGGTCCCTGTGTGCATTGTTGAGCACTCAGAGCAGTCACTTGGCATCAGCACCGTGCCAAGAGACAAACGACCCTTCTCTGCAGGGTAGCAGTGTGAAGAGCAGTCATTCGCCTGCCTGCTGGAGAAACCCACAATGGGTTCAAAATGTAAACATGCCCCAATTATCTACAGCGGCAGTTTTTCATCCTCTGGTGCATGGGTTCTCGGGGTCTGACTAATTCTCAAGGGTCTGTGAAAGGTGAGAAAACAAGCTGTCAGAAGCTGACGCTTCCTGCACAAGGGTTTGCACCACCACCGTTGGGAAAAATCTGAGTGTCTGCAAACGGAGAAGTAGCAAATTACTGCCTTGGGGAATGTTAAACTAAAGCAGTCCCTGAAATTATTCTTGGTGCAGTTTGCTGTATCCAGCCCATTCAGGAGTAAGTATGAGACCACAGCTTTTAAATGTACAGTGAGCATGTTCCAAATGTACCAGAAACAAAAATATATCCTTTTCACAATTTTGAAGGGTTTTTTTGACTGTTTTGGGAATTCAAAGCAAGAATGAATATACAGTCAGAAAGCTTCTCAAAGTTCCATGTTTTCGTTTTGCCAATTTTTGTATTTTTAAGACAGAGCAGGAGTTACAGGGCAATCGTATTTGCACCAATAAGATGGGGGTCAATGCAGTGCTGATTACTTACTTGAACAATGCTGCTTTGCTGGCATTTATAGATACACAAGCCCATAGGAAAAGTAGAATGCTAGCATGTGTGAATCCTGACACTGTTTCACCAGCAAATATGAAGACATCACAGTTGCATAAATTGGAATAAACCAAGCATAATCTCGCGAAGACCAGAAAAAGAATTCTATACAACCTAAATATGATCTCTAGGAAATTAACTAAAGATCTATAGGTGTCTTTCTGTGCTAAGCACTAACAACTTAACCTGAATATTGAAAAGAGTAAGGAAAGGAAACCCCTGAGGTTTTTAATGATATAATTTTAACTGTTCTGTGCATATTGGCAGGTGTTCAAAAGAAGAAGAAGAAAAAAAAGGATATGTAGTAATACAACCCGAAAAACTACTGAAGAAGTGGAAAGACTGTACCATCAGTCCACTTTTAATTTACACAAAAATGTGATCACACTGGTGACAAATTTTAATTTCTGGTGGTTCAGAGCTTCTAGCACTTGTTTGCTGCATATGAAAAAGCCACTATCTCATGCTGAATCCCTGATTTAGCAGACTTGGAGAGATATGGGTTTGACTGAATGACTATTAGATGGATAAGGAATTGGCTGGATGGTTGCATCCCAAGAGTTGCAGTCAACAGCTAAATGTCCTAATGGAAACCAGTAATGAGTGGTGTCCTCCAAGGGTCTGCACTGGGACCAATACTGTTTAAGACCTTCATTAATGACCTAGATAGTGGGAATGAGTTTACCCTCAGCAAGTTCATGAGTGACACCAAGCTGTGTGGTGCAGCTGATTCCCTAGAGGGAAGGGATGCCATCCAGAGGTACTTTTACAGGCTTGAGGAGCAGGCCCGTGTAAACCTCATGGAGTTCAACAGGGCCAAGTCCAAGGTCCTACACCTGAGTCAAGGTAATCCACAATATCAGTACAGACTGGGGGATGAACTGATTGAAAGCAGCCCTGCAGAGAAGGCCCTGGGGATATTGGTGGATGAAAAACTGGGCATGAGTTGGCAGTGTGCACTCGCAGCTCAGAAAACCAGTTGTATCCTGGGCTGCATCAAAAGAAGTATGGCCAGCAGGTCGAAGGAGGTGATTCTCCCCCTCTACTCCACTCTTGTGAGACCCCAGTTGGAGTCCTGCATCTAGATCTGAGGTTGCTAGCACAAGAAAGACATGGACCTGTTGGGGTGGGTCCAGAAAAGTGCCACAAAAATTGTTAGAGGCCTGGAACACCTCTCCGATGAGGAATAACTGAGAGAGTTGGGGTTGTTCAACCTGGAGAAGAGAAGGCTCCAGGGAGACCTTATTACAGCTTTTCAGTACTTAAAGGGAGCTTATGAAGAAGGTGAAGAGAGACTTTTTACCAAGGCCTGTAGTGACAGGACAAGGGGTAATGGTCTAACACTAAAAGAGGGTAGATTTAGGTTGGATATAAGGAAAAAAATGTTTCCAAGGGTGGTGGGACACTGGAACAGGTTGCCTAGAGAAGTTGTGGATGCCCCATCCCTGGACGTGTTCAAAGTCAGGTTGGATGGGGCTTTGAGCAACCTGATCTAGTGGAAGATGTCCCTGCCCATGGCAGGGGAGTTGGACTAGATGATCTTTAAAGGACCCTTCCCACCCAAACCATTCTGTGATTCAGCAGCACATGCTGACAGTCACCGTGTGGACAGCAATTCAAACATTGACCGGGCTTGACAAGTGTCAGTAGTTGGCTGTGAAGAGATGCTGCTAGTTCTGAGGAGATATTCACCAGTGACTGGTCAGGACTGGCAGCTTTCTCGGCATACAAGCTATGTGTGAAAACCTGTAGAGGGCTCATGGCACCAATAGAAACACACATGCACATACATAAGTGGGGAGCAGTACACAGGTAGGAATAACTGTTTCCCCAGTGGTCCCACCATCCTTGCTGGCATGGTCCTGTAGTAGGTGTGCAGCAAGGGGCCGGGGCAATCTGGTCACATTGGGTGAAGCAGCCTCTCCATACTAATTTCCTCACACAGCTGGATTATCACTCATTCCAGTTACCTCTTGGCTCTCTCCCCAGTGTAGCCACTGGGCGTGTGGCAGAGCTCTGCCACGGGGACTGGATTTGACCTGCTCAAAAGCCACGGAGAGTAACCCGACAATTAACCATTCTGCTCTGGTTTACCACCTGTGCCTAGGGCAGCTCCACACTCGTGGGAAGGGCAAAGGCTTCTTGAATGCTGGATGACACCTGATTCTGCTGCTTTTCCATGCCCAAGTCCATCTCCTGTAAATCAGGGAGTTGGATGAGTTCAGTCATGGAAAGCTGATGCAAGTCAGCTCAGGACCCGACTGTGATTTAGATCCTTTGAATCAAGACCACTGACCTTCATAGAAATCATCTGCACATTGAAAGGTGTATTTCCCTGAACCGTGTCACAGCTGAACTTGTCCTAGTAGTACAAGACAGTAATAACAGTGGCAAAAAAAGCAAACAGGATTTCAAAACATACGCAAAGAGATTGTAGAGGATATCAGTGTGTGAATCCCATTGTGCCCACAAAAGTGGATAGAGTAGCTCCTTGATTTGTCTATACTATATTTGGTGAAAATACAAATCTTCTGATAATCGTGCATGGCTTCACCTTGCAGGAGTGTAATTCCTTGTAATGCTATCCATAATGACTAACTAATGCTGTATCTTTTGTTCTTACTCACATGCATTGTAGTTGCATACTGAAAGGCATATTGATCCCAAGACTGAGAAAATAAATTACAATGGATTCCTTGGCAAACCATGTGTAAACCTCATAGACTTCCTTTTTCTCTTGTTTCTGCCATATGATTGCAGTTTTAAAGCGATAAAATAAGTTAATTATAAAAGCCAGGAGAAGCTGAAGAGGGATTTGGTATTTAAGAGTCCCTGGTATTTGTTTTAAGAACACGATGCTGTAAGACTGCAATGCTGATTAGTCTCAGACATTCGTCTTCTAACGGCTAGAATTATTTCTCAACAGTTAAGAATTCAGTAAATATAGACTGCATAAATACTTGAAAATGAATCATCTCAGCTACCACCTTTCCAGGAACTTACATTTATTTTGATCTTATATCGGTTTTCTTCTTCTAGACTTTATACACTGGCATTGTCATTTATGCTCCAGCTTTAGCACTAAATCAAGGTAAGATGAGTATATTGCAACTGTTCTTCTACTGTTATAATTTTTTCTGCATAGAGTACTGACATGATTTCTTTTTTTGGTAATGCACACCTAAAAATACAGCTCAAGGCCTGACTGTGAAGTCTTCTAAAATTTCTGTTGATCCTGGTGGGAACTCTGATAGAAGGCCTCCCATATGTAATCCTAGTCCCTTAATCCCTACCTGTAATGAATTAAAGAAGAGGCTTGAGGGGAAAATCTGCTCTCATTTACTCTACATCTCATGCAATATCCTTAGGTAATGGCTACAGTCAGAAAAGTTGAGAAGACTTAAGTAAATTTTGAAGGCAACGCAGAAACTAACACACATTTAACTCCTCTGGTTAAGTGCTCTTCTTCAAGAGGAGAGTGAGGCAAAAATTCTGTAAATATGATTTGGTACTGCCTGGAACTGTTTAAATAAGCCTCATTTTGCCAGGAAAGACAAATCAACAGCAAAGAGATCTTCAATTTAAGATGTTTGTGGTGGTGTCCGCAGAATGACATATATCCATTTTCTACTTCAAAATGACTCTTTGCTTTGAAAATGAGCCATATTTATTTTTAAAGGGGAAAAAAGATTTTATGTGGAGCCAAATGAAACTTTTAATCTGACACAATTAATTTGTCCGCTTGGCAAGAAAAGGCAATAACAAAATGCAAATTAAAAAATGAGTTATTTTGGCTAGAATGAAAATCACAATTTTTCTGTTGATTGGGGGTTTCTTTGGGTTGTTCACTGAACAAAAAGGAAGAAAAAAATCCAACACTGTCTGCACTGGTCTCCTCCAGTGTGTAAGTCCCACAGGTTTTATGTCCTTGATGTTTATATTTGCCCTGCAAATACATGCTAAACTAAGCTATGACCCAGCTAGCTCCCCACTAGAAGCAATGTTTTTCATTAGTTTTGTTGCAGTGTTTCTCCTCATTAGCCTGAGCTATCTCTTGGGGAGCCCTCAAGTACTCCCCTGGCAGCACGTGAGCATGCCAAGGTGGGGCAGTGACAGCCTGTATGCCAACCACAGCACAGTGCTGTCTGATGTAGACATACTATCATGTTTCCCTAAAAGAAAGAAGAATAAATAAAAGCCTTTTAGTCTGACACATTTCTTCCAGACCGTGCTTGAACCACCTTGCTTCTGTGGTGTATCCCTCCCTGTGCTGTTTACTTGCTTAAATCCCTGACTAAGGACTCTGTGGGACTGCCCAGGTGCTTCAGGGAAGGACATATATTTTAAAACCTTCCTGAATTGGGGCCTACAAACGTATTGGACGTGTTGTTTGGCAGCATTCACATTAAAGACAAATAGCTTCTTCGATCCTGAAATATATCAAACTTCTTAACAGTCTCCAACATCCATAACAGCTGTTTCATTTTTAGAACTGGTTAGGGTGAATCCCCTGGTTTAGACACACTAATCTTTTCATTGCCATTTTTACCTTCTACTTTTGCATTCAACTTATTTCTAGTTTTTTTTTAACCACCAGATCAGGGGGTGAAAAATCCACCTTCACTTTTTTGTGCCCAATGCCTCATTCACACTGGTGCCATTTCCCTCTTTTTCAGTCACTGGCTTCGACTTGTGGGGTGCAGTGGTGGCGACCGGTGTGGTCTGCACTTTCTACTGCACACTGGTACGTGGGCCCGTTGGCTGGGAAAAATCTCTGTTCCTTTCACCATTCACATCAAATATGGAATTTATTGAAAAGTAGTCTAATAACTGGGTTACCTCAAGGGAGTACATTTCACAGTGTAACTGTAGCCATAGGGCCATATTCACCCAGTGACTTCTCTGGATGCAAAGGTAGCGACTACGTGATTCACACCTTTTCTGTTTTGATACATATAAACTTCTGTTGTTGCTGAAAGAACAGCAAAAAGGTAGATTTCCCTTCCTAAAAATCCTTCTGTGACTTTTCTTCTAATCTAGTAGGGTTTAGCTGTGCAATTTGTCAAGGACCTGCTTACTGCAATTGAATAGAGCCACTGAAAATAGCAAGTGCCACATGAACAGATTGGTCTTTAGTGTTAATTGACCAAGTGCCTAGAAATTATTCAAGGGAACCTCGGTGACAAATTTCTTTGTATATGTTAGATTAAATAATGCTTATTTTTATTCACATGAATGGTGTGCCTTCTGGAGTTAGTGGTACTGCATATATATATAAGATGAGCACTGTCTGCCAGTTTATCTTTTGATACAAACTTCTGAATCAGGTTATGTGATCAAGGAAATACTGGATTAAAGTATGAGTAGGGCCAAAGTAAATTCTAGTGCCCTTCAAAAAAAGGTCAGGATGCTGCCCTGCTGTATTCTGATACATGCTGTTCCTCATACAGGGCGGTCTGAAGGCAGTGGTGTGGACAGATGTTTTCCAGGTTGGAATCATGGTTGCTGGATTTTCGTCCGTGATTATACGAGCTGTGGTGGTTCAGGAGGGAATTGGACGCATTGTAAATGATTCCTACTATGGAGGAAGATTGAACTTCTGGGAGTGAGTTTGTACTTGCAGATGATGTGCCCCTTTATTCCTACAAATAGAGCCCATGTGACTAACCGTGAAATTAAATTGCTACTGAAGGAGGAGGAGGGGAGGAGTTGTGACCCAATTTTTATATAGTTTTAAACAAGCTTACCTATTTTGAGAAATATTTATTAGGTTTTATACCATGAAAAAAACCTGAAGAGAGTAAAACATTTCTACTTTGTCAAGTGGATGTTTTAAAGATACATTTTGGATTCCACTGATAGTGAATGGTGAATAGGAGAGGACAATCGTATTTATACAATTTGCAGACAGCTGATTTGGCATTTCAGCTACTGAACCAAAACAGCTGAGAAAATAATAGTTGTTGTCTAATCTGAAAACAAGAAATGTTTTTCTTTTCCCTGAAAGAAAAGTTAGAAGTAGTTTTAATAGTATTTTACCCTCCATTATTGTAACCAATCAGAGCCTAAAAATATAATTTTGCAAGGTCAAGAATATTAATTCTGACAATGTTGAATCAAAAAACTCTTTAAGTTAAAAAAAAAAGTTATTGTACTTTTGATGAATAGGTGATTTCTCTGAGAAAGTTCACCCAGTGCTATTGAAAGTTTAGTGTGACAAGCATTACCTTTTGTCCTTTTGTCTGTCAGTTCACAATATTGCTCAGGTTGTTCTATGAAATTCTACATCAAGTTCTTCAGTAAATAATTCATCTGTGGGTATATTTTTTCTTCTCATGAAGAGTAATTTTTTTCGGTCTGGCTGATTTGCAGTGGTTATACTGCATTGCTTCTTCCCCCAGTCATAGAGTTCACAGACGGAAAAAGAAAAGGAATAAAGGCATGTAATAGGTTAAATAATGTTACACTGTTCACCAAGATAAACATAATTTATTGCTATATTAAATAGTGATTAAAAAGTATTATTTTTGGCCATCTAAAATATGTTATTCACTTAGAGCTAAACCAGCAAAATGTTTTACAGAGCTCTATTCACAAAGGCTGGGTGTGCAAGCACACCTTTATATTGGTGTTAGACTGATGTCCATCTAGATAAGCAGGCATATTAGACTTTTTACTGGAGCGTCATTTCATCACAACCATAAGAGGCATCGTACAGCTTTCCTTAAGACTGTAGTTTATAGACAAATAAATTAGTAAAACTTTACCTTTGGACAGATCAGAGTGTTTCACTGGATCAGGATTTCAACTCTGAGTTTTAAAATTTGCTTTCTGTGACGTCACGTAATGTTGAAGTATCTGAACATTCAAAATCTGCCCAAATTAAGAGAGTTTGTATGAGAACAAGTATGGGGAGATTTTTTTTCCTAGGCGTTAAGGTCTTATAATGAGAAGATTTCCATATTCTGAATTTGTTTTCTCTTTTCCCTCTCTTTATAGCTTTAATCCCAATCCTTTGCAAAGGCATACCTTCTGGACGATAGTTATAGGTGGGACTTTCACATGGACTGGCATTTATGGGGTCAACCAGTCTCAAGTACAGAGATACATTGCATGCAAAAGCAGATTCCACGCAAAAATGTAAGTCTGAATACAGTAACTCTTAATGTCTGAATTTAGCAGTGGCTGTTCTTTATAAGGGAGATTTTATTTTTAAAGGAATAGTTTTTTGTCTATATAAACCCCATTTGTAAAAGGTAACAAATTTTGCTTTCTGTTTTGTGGACCAGATAGAAGACAAATCAGCAGAATAAGTACTGGTATTTGAATTACATATAATTGCTGTAACATTGAACTTTGTGCCAGAATGTTTCACTGTGCCAATATTCTTGCATACAAATAGCTGCATTAAGTTTATATGCAACCTAAATACCAAATAATATAGTACTTGTGCTGAAGCCATATCAAGAAGGCATCCTGAATTGCTACTCTACTAAACCTAAATCATTGTGTGGGAATTTTACATAAATAAAGACTTAAAGATTTTTCCATACCTATGAGTACAGGCATGAGAAAAATGCAGAAATGTTTTATTCAGTGATAAAATTGCCAATGAATCGTATATTTTGTGTTCATAATAATCATCACTTTTTTTTTAGGAATTCACTATGGAAACTGGCAGAGAGTTCTGTTTTCCTTGAATTTAAACATTTCTGATTGGAGTATATTTACTAACTCTATTATCTTACCTTTATCTTCAGTACTGTTCCATTAGTTCACAGCTCAGGATTTAAGAATTATTAGTGAGCTCATAAAGTCCACTTATAGGAGAAATATATAAATGCACATCATAACTGTAGTCCCTGTAAATTCTATAATACAGTGATATACAGAGAAGGAGTTTTATGAAGTCTTTCACTTCATAAAGTTAGCAAAATACCCGCAAAATCATGCACAGTTTAGAACTGAAATATTTTGGTTATGGCAATAAAGAAAATCTACTTTTCAGCCATTTACACTGCAGAGAGGAATGAGCCAATGCTCGTCATCAGCCTCATCTCCAGCGTACAGTGCCATATCTCCAACACACCACATGGCTTTACTGTGATCTCTGGCGCATGGCTGCGTTCCAGGTTCTCGGCACTCTGCAGAGGCAGGAGGTACATCCCACGGCTGTAATGCTGCCTGGCATGATTGCGTACAGAAAAACAGCTGCATATGTTCTGCCAGATTTGTGTGCCAGTGAGGCTGTTCTTCCTGAGGACCTGCTCTGCTTAGGGCTGTGGTCCTCTCTCGCACCCTCCCTACCCTCTTTGTAAGGAGGGACACCTCCAGGGCATCCCAGAAGCAGAGTGTGGCCAAGGGGAATCTGGCAGCTTCTGAGCTGTTGCTGCAGCTTTGACCAGGGCTGGAGTCTATCTGGTCCTGGAAGGGCTTTGATGGGATTTATAGCTCATACCCTATTAGCGGTGGCACAACCTTAATCAGTAGAGTCCTCTCCTGCTGGCATGGGTGGTTGGACTTCATGACATCTTGCCTCGCTTGTGTGGGCTATTTCCCCTGCATGGAGAAATCATTTTGTATAATGGTTGCAGCTTGTTATACCTATAAACACTGCCATTCTGTGGTGACTATCTAGTTCATTTGCAAATTTAATTAGACACATCTGGCAAGTCACATTGGTGGCCTGCACCTCTTATTGCCATTTAACCTGTACACAGATGTGTAAAATGTCATCAGGGCAAAGTACTAGGGTTTTGTACTCCTGTGGCATTTACTATAAGGCTTTATAAGAGACAGCACAATAATACATCAGGGCTGAGAAAATATTTTTTTCACAGATCCCAACGTACAGTTTTTGGGAAGACCTTTAACAGTGGCACAAGAGTAAGAATTTTCTCAGGCTTTGGGAAAGGATTTCACCCCATTCAAGAAAAACACCAGTAGGTAGGAGCACATGCTAGCATCCTCAAAGAGTAACTAAGCAAATTCAACATAATGCTAATATATGAATGATAACAGGCACTCAGAACAGGAGATACACACTTTTGCAAAAACATGGGCTACTAACCCATTTTTCTCTACTTTCCTTTCAAGGTCATAATCTGTCATGTTTCAGTGCTGAAATCTTATAGCCGAAATAAACAACTGAAAATAAGCCTTGCGCAGTCACAGTGCCTACTTCACCCAAACTCCACCCTATGTTACTCACCCAGAATTAATGGGAACACCTCTGTCCAACAGTGCTACAATTATTATACGCCAGTACTTACTCATAGGGTGTACCATGAGCTGGGATGTAAATCAGAAGGAAAAAAAAAAGCTTTATTTTCACTGTCAAACACTGACTCAGTTTAAAAATAGGAATTGCCAGACTCAGACAAACAATTTGTTTTGCTTCCATGTGTTTCTCTTGACTTTCTAATCTTTACTACAGGCTCTAGGCTAATACCGCTATTACATCTGTTCAAAAGAGTTGGATTGATTTAACTCATTGGTTACATTTTGTAGTAAATTAGATTCTGACTGCTTTATATCAAGGTAGATTATGCCAATGTAGGAACAGCTTCAGCTAAATGGATGCAAGACATCCAACCAATATATAAGCATCTATAAGAAGACTACATTTTTACTAAATTAGTCTAGAGAGAAATTTCAAGTGCTTCTGGTTCTGTCTTTAGACCCTCCCTAATTGCAAATACAAAACATAAATACAGTTTCCTCTACCATGTGTAAATCAGCTTTTATTTATATAGGTCTTTTTTAAGAGTTTACATTGTGCTTGCCAGTAATTTTTCTGTGGTATAAAACTGATAGTCAACTACTTGATCTATGTTATGCCTTTCTGAAATGCCCATTTTAATGCCTAAAAAGGCCTATGAAGTTAGGTGCACTTCTTCATTCATCCTGATAGTCCTCTAGAGCAGTCCAAAGGCTGGTACCCCTTACCTTCTTGAGAACTAAAAGAACTAAAAGTCCTCCTGAAGCATTGTAAGCATGGATATATTTGCACAGAAACCAAAGGTCCTCCCAGCAGAGGTCTTAGCAGTTGGCACAGGGCCAGGGTATGTGATCTGTCAGGCAGTTAAATCTCTATCAGCAGATGGTACACAGATAACCAGGAGGGCAACTGCTGGAAAAGAACGCTGTTTTTCAAGGCCAGGCTCCCTGTGGGTGTTGTTTTCTTGAACTGACCACCCTAGGTGAGAAGAACTTTGTGACCCAGGAGTCATCAAAAGCTGAGAAACATTTGAGAACAGATAGTTAGATGGAAGGGAAAAGCCCTCACTGAGCAAGGAGAACAATTTTTTTTTTTTCACTGCCAATAGGGGCTGCCTGTTGCGTGTGGCAAAAGTAGCAATGCCTGATGAAAACACATTTCTGTTCTCAGCGTTAGCAGAAGGTCCCATCGGGACGTGGGGAGGCGATGGGGTTACTGGACCATACCAGGCTTCAAGTTGTTTAGTCACTAAAGTGGAAGCCCTGAGGTCAGTGGCGACCCAAGCCCCTGCTCTCTGGATGTGGCAGCTGCAGATGGCTTCAGACCAGATCCCACATCCCAGTGCCTCATTGCTACCTCCCACAGAGACTGTCCCAGGAGGAAATGGGGGATTTGTTGTTTTACAAGCGCAACTCCAGCATTGTGTAAGAGTGGCACTGCAGCTCTAGAGGCAAAGGAATGTTGGTGCTGACTAAAAGGTACCCCACACTTTGATCTGGGACACCCTGCCTTACAAATCTGTCTGGGGTTTGTCTTTATCACGGGGTGTGGCAATGGGGGGGAAGATCATCTTTTTGCCAGCTGCCTGCAATGTAAAATTCATGCACGTGATGAAACGCGAGGATTGCCATATCGCTCCCATCATCTCCAGAGCAGACTTTGCCAGGGGATGGGCACTCAGACCGTACCACCAAAACCAGAAGTGTAATTCATTTATTTAAAAACGTGATCTCACGCCTGGTGAAATGCTGGCAGCTGTGTCATGACTCCCTTTCCAGTGGGCAGCCACCGACCAGAAGGTCTCTGTGGTGCTGGCGCAAATGCTTGTTCGCTTGGCCTCGGCGGGATCTTGTGGGGTGTTGAGCTCTAACATGGTGTTCCCGTGCGTGCTGGCGCAGGTCTCTCTACATCAACCTGGTGGGCCTCTGGGCGATACTGGCCTGCGCAGTGCTGTGTGGCCTGGCCCTCTACTCCATCTACAAGGACTGTGACCCATGGACGTCAAATCAGGTGTCGGCACTCGACCAGGTACAGCCCTGAGTTTCAGGGGAAGGTGGTGAGGGGACATCCTTCCTCTGCAGCCATAATAGCCAGCTGCAGGGTGGGTGGGGAGGAGAGCGGGGAGAGGGTTCAAGAGACAGGGGGTTGGAAAAAATGACATGCCCGAGTCCCGTATCACATGAGTCTGTAATGCTGAGGGATTAAGCTGAGACGGTGGTGGGAGGGAACACCCTGGAGAAAGCAGCAGGCCTGTCCTTGGCACTGCTCAGTCCCAGTGTCCCCCCAGCTGTCCCAGAGCTTCTGGTCTCTCAGCACCAGGTAAGGAGGGTGGCAGAGAGAGCAGCGATATGGAGAGTGATCAGTCCACCCACCTCTGCAGGTATTTGGGTTTTTCACCCAAAATGGGCCCAGGAGTGCCAGCATTGTATAAAACAGCAGCTCAGGGAGAAGTGAGGGGAAGAAGCTGCCACCGGGGATGGCTGAAACAGCGGAGCCTGTGTGAGTGACTGTGGGCCTGAGCGAGCTGCTTCAAATCACCCAACCTAATCTGCTCTGTGCCAAGGGAGGCGAAACCCTTCTCAGATTTGGAACATAATCACGCCCAAAGAATACACCTGGAAGAAGGCTACCAGTGGACAATTCTTCACTAGTAATGGTGCATTCTTCCCTCCTTTGGAGGAGAGCTGTGCAATGAAACCTTATTGTACCATGCTGTGGAGAAACCACCTTGTAACCGACAGCAGCCTCTCCCTAAATAGGCCCTGAGCAGCAGATTTACCTGAGGAACAAGAGCTCTGGGAATGCATAGACTGACCAGTCAAGGCCCAGGGAAATCATACAAGTCTTTTTTTTTTTTTTTTTATGTTTATGCCTGGGATAGTCATAGACACTGGATAACACTCCACAGACAATAGCTGGAAAGCCAGGAGAAGAGTGCAGACAACAGAGTACCTGAGGTAGAACCACCTGATCTTTAAGGGCAGAACAAAATTAGATGTGGAAAGCCAAGGTGGAAATCCAAAGGCAATTAAGTTTTTCCTGTCAGTCATATTCATATGGTGGAAACTGGAAGCAAGGCACTAAAAAGACCAACTTGTCTGTGAAAAAAATTGTTCACAAGAAGAAAATCTTAAAATTCCTCTCTTTCCAGCACTCAGCTATTTCAAAGCTCAATAAATGACACATAATAATAAGAAAATTATTCTCAGGTACCCTGAGGTTATTGAACAGTATCTAAAAACCTTTTAATGGAGTCAACAGCAGACATAAACATCTACTGTAGCACCCAAGCCCAACAGAGTGATGTACAATACAGACTACATGCTGCCCAGCACTACCTTCTTATACTGTCATCACTGGAAACCAAGCACGACAGCATGGCCATATGCTAACCTCCGCTAGGTGATCTAAACAGACTTCGCTGTTTCTCAAGTGGATGTTTTAGGATTGGTTTTCTCTGTAGAAAACCAATAAATAGTGCAAGGTGGGACTTTAAAATTAGAACAGCTGGGCAGAATGCCATTGAGAAGGCTATAACAAACATAACACAGTGACAAAAAGAAAAATTAGGGCAAGACAGTAATATTTCTTACTCTGAATTTTTCAGCTAATGCCATACCTAGTGCTGGATATTCTCCACGATTTTCCAGGAGTGCCAGGGCTTTTTGTGGCTAGTGCCTACAGTGGGACGTTAAGGTAATTTAATAGTTTGGAATCGAGTATCTGTCTTTTTTTTCTTTTTTTGTTAGAGCTAAAGCTGCATTTTTACTAGAACTGTTGCATTTAATTTCTTTAGCTAATTTTTGTTCTTCAAAAAAAGCACTATAGGATCTTTGATGATGCTGCTTGCAAATCCATAGTTTCCAACAGTGGTGCTCTGATGTCCTAGGACTCAAAGCTGTTTGGAGTTCCCTACTAGCAACGTGAAGAAATAGCTAGCCACGCATGATGTACAGCACTAACAAATTCTTCTCTCCATGTTTTTAAAGCCCCTCTGCTATAGGAATTTTAAAGTATTATAAATGGGTGGTTACACAAAGTAGCTACAGTTTGGGGGAACTTCCTACTGCTTCTAAGATGAAAAATTGTATAAATCTTGCCTTCTGTAGTACAGTGTCCTCCAGCATCAATGCTCTGGCTGCCGTGACTGTCGAAGACCTCATTAGGCCGTACTTCAAATCCCTCTCTGAAAAGAAGTTGTCATGGATTTCCATGGGGATGAGTATGTCTGGAAAATATCTTTTCCATCTTTGCTTTACAAAGTGAGGGCTTAATGCAGATCTCACTTATGGCAGTGTAAGTCAGGAGTAAGTGCATTCACACCAATAGAACTACACTGATACAGTACTTGAGGGAGACAAGATCAGCTGCATAGGCTTTACACAGACTGGAGGACAATCTATTTCAAGTGACCATGAGGAAAAAAGAAGCCATCTTTAATCAGGGAAGATGCACTACATCTGTATTCAATATTGATTCACAATACCACAAAGCCAAATGTCTCAGACTGAAACACCTGTTATTTTTCTTTCACCTGTCAAAAATGAGAAGCATAGGAAACAATTTTGTAACAAACCTTTTGAACTGAGTGATACATGAACAATAGCACTGTGTCTCAATAACATTCCAGAGAATGAGAAACTTCATGTTTTTTCTGATATACACGCAGACCTTCAGTCTGTTTAGCTCCAGTGTTTAATGCAGCTCAAAGAGGGTCAGACCTAGGCTGAGCAGATGGCTTCAATCTCTGAAGTGCAATTGCCATCTCTGCTAGTTGTACTGTCTGTGACCAGCTGCAGGTGTAGCCCAAGACAGTGTTTGCAGTAAGTGTGGAAAAAACACAGTCCCAACATGGTGTCATAGCCCATACCAGTAAGCACAGCAGACTGCTGGCAGGTGACAAGTATTAAATATTTTCACCTGAGAGCAGTTTCCTAAACCTTATTGCAGACAATGTTTATGCTAAAACTGTTGTTAGTCTTACCATGAGTTGCCTGCCATATCACATTAAACAGTGAGGTTAACCTATTGCTTGTGCAGTGAAACTCAACAGGGTAGCAAAAACAAATAAGCCAGTGTTATGGGTCCTGGGGAGAGACACTACATCCTGGTGACCTGGGGCGTTCTTTGTCATGGTGCCAGCTCCCAGTAATCTGCCAGCATTTACTTTCTTGCTCCAAAGACTTTAGACTGAGAAGCAGAAATCATTCACTCAAAATAAGAACTATGACACAGGAGATTAGATGAGAAATATGAACAATAGGTGTAGTATTGCCGCTATGACTAATCCATATGGCTGCCATTTAGAAACTAATCTTTAGTAATACACAGGAAGAAGATTTTGTCAAGTTTGCATGATCTCCTCTTAATGTAAACAGAAACCTGACCTTTTGGCCAATTCAGGCTCTCTTAGAAAAAACCCAGATGCTAGCAGATTTGCTTTGAAGATGTCAAGGGCCATGCTGGTCTAGATGGAAACATTTCCATTAGTGATTTTCAAATTTAGGCAGATTTAAACATTCTGCCTTTCTCACACAGGCCTGTTTTATGGAGGAGTCTGCATTGCGATGGCTGCACTGGCATCTCTCCTGGGAGCCTTGTTGCAGGTAGGTGTCAGACTGCTTTTTCATGCCCATGTTGAATTACCCAGAATGAATTATGTAAGAAAATAATTTCTGGATACCATTATGAGATTAGTTTTTATTCTTTGTTGGGTACTGGCCTTAAACAGCCCATGGCTTAGCCTCTGCTTTAAGCACCCATGTAACTATACCAAGTCCTGCCAGTTGAGTAAACACTCGTTAAAAGAACCTCATAATTTCCTTCTCAGTATCTTCCCTTCTTTCCATGCTGGAAGCTATAACTTTCTTGTACAGCACCTGATAGCAGATTCTCTTCCTTCCTCAGGCAGCGCTCAGCATTTTTGGCATGGTTGGTGGCCCCCTTTTAGGGCTGTTTGCCTTGGGAATCCTCTGCTCCTTTGCAAATGGAATTGTAAGTAGAAATTTAAAGTCCTGCTCATCCAAAATGCATTGATAATGTTGGGCATCCCCTTCTCCCCCCAGTAATTTTATGTTGGGCAGCAAAGGAGATGTCTTTGATACTTTCCATGAGGACATTTCCCTTTGCTCCCTTTCCTCCTTATCCTGAGGAAGTGATGAGTAGGGATTTATAGGAACTTGAATTTTCTTCCAATGAAGAGATTTACATGACCAGAGGGGGAAAATACCCATCTGAATACAAATGAAACTTTGTCAAGGATTTCTGCAAACCACAGTTTTAGAAGCAGGGAATAACACGTCTTGAACAACCAAGTAGACTCAGAAGATGCTGGCCCATCTGAGCAAAAGGGGGTCAGGCACATGCAGACTGAATTGGAGTGTTCTCAGGGTGCTTCAGTATCATGAAATTATAATTTATAGAAGAAAAAGTTATTCCATCAAAAAATGGATTTGTCAAACTTTGGGAATATGATCCATGGGTTGGTCTGACAGGATTGCTACTTGGTAAGGTTCACCAATCACCAACCTTTACTTCTTTGCAGTGGCAAATTTTATGTATATACTGGGGAAAAAAAAAGGTCACTAGCTGTCAACCAAAAAAAAATCCCACCCAGATGTAGAAGATACTTTTGCAAAAGCAGATCTCATGAGGAAAAGGAAAAATTCCTTCTGTATTTGTTCAAGGAGGGCCTCAAATAAAGCAATATTTTCCCATATACCATGCAGCCCGAAGATGTCCTTTGATTTTAAAGGCATAGTGGCAAAATAAAGAGAGGTATGCTCAGGAGCTGTGAGTACACTGTATTTCCCAAAAGAGGAATGAAGTAAACGCCCCAGCTCTCTCCAACTGTATATTTCATTTTTTTCTATAGAGTCTACAGTTTAGATTATCTTGACTGTTTCTTACTCATCTAGGTGTTATTTTTTTCAAATATCCTTTTGCTTTTCAGGTAAATACAAATTTCATTTTCTGTTTTGCAGGGTGCATTTGTGGGTCTTGTCAGTGGCTTTGTTATTTCTCTTTGGGTTGGAATTGGATCTCAGATTTATCCTCCACTCCCAGAGAGGACCAAGCTACTATATCTCTCAACTGCAGGCTGTAATATATCCTTAGGAAATTTGACATCAACAGAAAATCCATTAACAACCATCTTCAGCACACCAACTGCAGAGAGGTATACAAGTTCATCATGTGCAATCAACAAAGCATGTAGATGTTTTAAAGCAACACAGACATCTCCCTAACATTTGGGTTACTATAACTATCCCTCCCCAGTTTACCTACCAGGCTGTTCAAGATGAAGAAGTTTTTTCTGATTTTTTTTTTTTTCCCGTCAGAGTAAAGTTTGTCTAAATTATCCTAGAACAGAAGTCAAAGTGAATCTTCCTACTGATCTGAAAAGCTTCAGTTTAATATTTGAGTCTAAAGGCTTGGATATGACTTACTGGGAACCATAGTTTTAAGGAAAGCAAAACGTTAATAGTTATTGGATTAACTTCCATAGTCTTCACATTTATTAAAATAGTAGATAGTTAAAGGGCAATTTGCCAGTTTAACAGCTGCACCCACAACAGCTTGTCTGTGCAGAAATAGTTCTATTTAGGAAATTCAGAAGAGGGGATAATTCCTATAATGGGGAAAATTGAAGGGATTTTCTCCCTCTGCAATTACCCTCTGTCTTACTTTGGACAATCACAATTAAGTGTAACGCTTATGAATGACAATATAGGGAACTGCAGGAACAGAAAGAAGCTGAAGAAACACAGTTCTAGAGATTCCCAATCCTTACACCTTAGAGCCTTGTACAATCAACAGATACCCTGGTACACACATGGGTGCCCAACATCCAGTGTCATGTTTTACACCTCTCACATGAGGGGCCTTCAGCATTGCTCAGGGCTGCTGGGAAGCAACTGTTACAACAGAGCATATTGTCAGGGAAAACAAAATAAGGTATAACCAGAGGTGTAACATTGTTTCTGGTGCTATTGTTTCTGGCTGTTTAGAGCTGCACATGGCTGATTTCCTACTTTTTTTTTTTTTTTTTTTTTTTTTTGTATGTATCCCCTCCTTTAAATAACATGCCCCTCTTCTGAAGAAGTTAGTCCTTCATCTGGGTAACTGGAGTGCTCACCTTTGCACTAGATTCCTAGCAGAGACAGGACTGTCCTGTTTTACCTGCTCTGTCCCATCTGTTGCCTCACTGCACTGACCATTCTCCTCCTGTATGAAGGAACTTGTCCTGCAAATTTAAGAACAAATTTTCAGTGCACATTTTATTTTAAGAAGGAAGTTCAAGACTACCAGGTCGCTTGGTTCAGGAGTAACTCTGTATTCATATACTGTCTGGAAACAGACAACATTTTCAAGCTGCATGGAATAGGAAAGCAGAGATTAACACTTTTTCTGCTCTTTTTCAGGCCTGCCCTGGCGGACAACTGGTATTCCTTATCTTATCTCTACTTCAGCACACTTGGGACGCTTATCACAGTAGTTGTGGGAATAATTATCAGCCTCCTAACAGGTACTAGTTCCAGAGCTGTGATTGAATGTGTCTTACATCTCTTTCAAGCTAAGATGACCAGAGCACTGTCATTGCCACAGGAAGTGCCTGTGACCCTATTGCAAACATTGTGTACAGATTACCATCCTAAATCGAATTTCCTCCCCTCAGCCTTTCTGCCTCCCACTCTTGGTCTCTGCTCACAGCAAAAGTTACTTCACATTTCTGAGGAGAAAGAAGATTCAGCAGTCCTTTAAACTGAGGGGCAAAAAAAAAAAAAAAAAAAAAAAAAAAAGACATACGTCTTTCCTTTTTTTATTAGACAGCAGCAGGGGCTGAAGGTTAAAGGTTTGCCCTGAACATGGCAACAACTCCAAGCGAGGAGATACACCCATGCTTCTAGAGGACAAAAGCAGTTTTACTTTGAGTGAGTTCAGAGCACTCAAGGGTTATTGTCTGCACCTGTACAGCAGATGCTTTCCACCACATTTCCCAAGCACATACCCAAGAGCTGCAGACCCTGTTCATGGCTGTTTGCTTCTTTCCCAGTTTCTGTGTACTATTTGTGCAAGGAGCTAAAAGCAGCACCCCAGAGGTAAGAGTGGGGACTTCAGCTCCAGCCCACGACATCACTACTTTTGCATCTAAGTGAGATGTAAACTGCATCTGTCATGCATAGCAGAAATAGCACAAAAGCAGCTGCTCTCACAGCTTTCCAGTATGCCCAGCCAGATTCATATGAGAGCCCTTATCTTTGTGGCTATTAGATTTCAGACCCATTAGTCTGACCTACAACTCCCCCAGGACTATGAAACCCCAAACCCAGCAGACAAACTCACTTCCGTTAGCTTCCCTGTGCTTTGCAACTAATAAGCACAAGTTACACTTCTGCCATTTTCTTTTCTTCATTAATTTCTAGAGGATTTGGTCCCCACTTTCTTCCAATGATGAGCTCTTCCCATTGCTATAATGACGCTTGTTGACAAATTTTGCTTCTTACCAGGTTGGGATCAGGTCACCCACAGGCTATGAAACACACCATGAAAACTGGGTAACTCGGCAAATCCAGATAAGAACTCCTCATCCCAAGAACCATAAACCCCAAATAACTAACCCAACAACACTGTCACCATGCTTTTTGTGGAGCAAGATCCCATTGAAGACTCAGGTGGCAATCAGAGCTAATTCCCAGCACCTGCATCTCCTTTGTTTCCCACACACATTCCTACAAAACAATAGTTCATCTTCTGTGCCTTAAAAATGACCAAACATCCCATTAACCCACATCTTTGGGGCTGCCCTTAAAATTGCTGGTGACTCTGGAGACAGGAGTCTTGCTGAGAGGGAGCTAATGTCTGGGGCTCACGCTCCAGGGAAGCACTTGGTGCGACAGCTCCTGGGCTGTCAGTGTGGTCCCAGATATCACAGTATGGAATTCATCCTTTTCTGATGATTGTTTCAGTTTTTTTACCCAATAAGAAATCTGAGGAGGATTGAGGAAGCCCTGAGAAAGGGCAAAGGCATTTCAAATAGACCTTGAGGGATCATTTTATATTTTGAGAGGTGATGGGTATAAGTCATCATAAAGAAATCATCCCTAAGGCCTGTGATTGCTTGGTGGCTTTTGCTGCATGACTCTATCCTGCTCTTCTGGCCTGATGCCCATAGCTGGTCTCTAACATATCCTCTGCATGTGGAAACCTGGCTGATTGAAACCTCCCTATTTTGCAGGAGGACTAAAACAGAACACAGATAGTAAATTCCTGCTGACCAAGGAAGATTTCCTGTCCAACTTCTCACGGTCTAAATCTGAGACAGTAAGTGTAATTATGCATCTCCGATTTAAATCAATCTTTCCTCCTGGGGACAAAGGCAAACAGTACCTGGCTTATTTTTTCCCACCAGGATGAATAGCACCTGATACTGCCTGATATGACTGCTTTAAGGCAGTAGCAGAGCCCAGGGTGGGTAGGAGTAAAGTAGCTGGCATAGGCAGGGAAGCTACGTTTGGCCACAGCTTGACTTCAGTGAACAGCAGAGCAGCAGCTGAGACAAGGGACAGTTGTTCTTCAGGTTTCTGCCAAAATACTCCCTCACTAGTCTCTTGGAAGCTGGCCCAAGGCACACTTTGGTCTTAGAAAAGCTTCCTTTGTTTGTAAACATGTGTTCTCTAAAGTCTGGATTTTTTTTGCAATATTGGCTACTGTTTGAGAGAAAGCGTTTCTAGTCAATGTATCTGTTTCCTAGCTCCCTTCCTAAGACATAAGAAAAGGAGAGACATAACTCAGTAATAACATCCCCTAGAAGGGAGAATGTAGGGGAAATTTGTTTGTTTATTTGTTCTTTTTAATAAACTATAGATTGCTTTTCAATCAGTATCATCAGGATATTGGACATTCAAGCTCAGCTTTGTTCAGTGCTTTTTTAGAGCTGCAGTACAGGTAATGATCATATTTTTGAGATGGTTCACTTTGCAAAATGTTTTTTCTCCATGATAACAACTCCTTTTAGTATGATCTCATGTATTTCAGTTTCTGGATATGAACACCAGGGAGAGAAAGGGATTTTTACAATACTATTGTAATTCTGTTTGTCCATGTCAGGGCTGGAGACCAGCTATCCAGTTATTGTCATTCACTGTCTTTAATGGGCCAACACCTCTTTTCACTATCTGGGAATTTAATTCCTGAAGTCTTTTGGAAAAAAACAAAACAAAACAAAACAACAAAAAACACCCACATGGAAGCTAATGCCCACAGCCATACTATTTTATGCTCAGGGTCAGAAACAAGTGTCTGTCTGGTTACACAGCTAGGAACTGGGTGGCAAGTGGCTGGCATCACAAATAATGCAGAAAGTTGTTGAGGAAAAAAAATATCAGGGGGAGCCAGGTAACTTCCTGCACATGAAGAGCTCAACATCTCATTATGTTTAACAGAGATGGAACATAAAAGCAATGACGCATGCTAATCTGCTCTTTGTGTCAAAGATGGGTCAAGGACCAAGGGTTGGGAGGCAATAGATCAAGGACCTGGTGATGACAGATTGCTAGACATGAAAACAGCAATTAGAAATTTGCACACCCAAAAATACATTAGACACTTTGCAGGACAAGAACATTTTACACAACTAGTACCTTATGCAAGAAGAAACTTTCCATGCCCCTAGAAAAATACCAGCTCCTGCAGTGAATAACTATTTATCCTCTGTCAGCAACCAACATGTGTTTTCCTTCAAGGCATCCTGTATGTCAGGCATGACTCTGCTTGCATGCAGGTCAAAGAGCAGAAGACTGTTTCTTCCACTTCACAGTATGGCTTTTGTCTTTTGCTTTTTAGCCAGAGAAAGTGGAGGTGTTGAACTGGAAACCATTTATCGTGGCAGCCGAAGGAACTGACAACCCAGCTTTCAGCCACATTGAAATGGACGTTGCAAGCAATAAGAACAAAGTCAATGGCCTTCATATATGACATAGGGCCATGTCAGCCCACGAGGACAGTTTTGTTCATGTAAAGATCTGTTGACATTCCTGTGCTGAGTCACTCACCAGCCCTGCTGGGGTCATGGGCAGGCATCTGCTGAGCTTCGTGGCACTGTCACCCTTGCATGACCTTGACATTAGTCAAGAAGGGAATCAGGTCTTTCTTGCACTTCCTCACACTCTCTCTCACTCTGGATCTTGGTGACAGGGCTTAAGGCAATGTTTCTATGTGAAATATTTGCCTGATATTATTGAGCCTCCCGGAAAAATATGTATCTGTTTTTAATCTCAGTTTACTTTCAGAGTAAATTTTTTATTTGGCAAGAGCACTGTTCCCCCAGACACAGCTGTTTTTCTGGTTTGTTTTTTCCTTTTTTCTTTCAAGGCGTTGAAACTATAAAGAGATTGGGGCTACGGAACCTTATCAGATTGCAAGAAACAGTGGGTCTTTTTTTAGTACAGGAGGTGTATTTAGTGCCATCTGGTCCCTTTGTAGAACTGATCCTGAGAGCGTATTTATTTTGCTGGCTTTCTCGTATATTCTTGGGTTTTATTAAGCCACTTGTTCCGTTCCCTGGTTACCTGCATCTCCTCCTCTGTGCTCACTGCTGGAAGCTACAAGAGTGTCTTTGGTGATAGGTAGAGGCAAGAGTCAGTAATATCCTTCCCTTCACACCCTATCTCCTGCTTCAGAGCTGTCTTGCCCTTACAGAGCTGGTCTGCATGAAGGAAATGAGTTATTTGGACTTTTTATTCAATGCCGTATAGCAGAACCATGGTAGTCTTAGACTTCATGCCCAGCTGGCCTAGGACCACTCTTGCACTGGGCTGGGCATAGCACTGCAGAGATGTTAATGCAAGAGGAGGGCCCTCTGCTGTGTGGGGCAGGAGGGAGGGCGGCATCTGCAGTTGCCACTGCTGTTATCTGCAGAGCTGTGAGCTGAAAACTCACGTAGCCGTTTGTGTTCACACAGTCCCTACTCGGGGGATTCACATGCAGGGTTGGTCCAGATCAGGCAAGAGCACGTCACGTGTTTTGGCAGGCAGAGCCCACTGCGCGATCCGCCCGGCACGGGGAAGGGATCGCAGAGGATGTCATTTGGTGAAGGCGTCTCCAGGGCTGCAGGGCATGGGATAGCTTATCCGCTGGCTGGGCTGCCAAGAGAAGCTGGACAGCACATCCACTCCAGACCGTGCACTGTGCTGGTGGTTTGGGAGGGTGAAACCCCCCATGTCTTCCTTCTGTGTGCTTTTTGGTGCATCAGGGAACAGACTCTGACCCACTGTGCTGTTTTTGTGCTGCAGACTATTTGCTATGGCTATATGTGGGTGTTTAAAACACCTCTACAGAAGCAGAATCAAGTTGGAAAATAAAAGCCATTGCAGGAGAGTCGAGCTGTGAAGCTTATAAGGAAGGCAGTCATGCTTGAGAATCAAATGAAAAACTGACTGCGTGTCTTAAATGTTTTCTGAAAGGTCTGCTGCATTTGTGCCTGGTGCTGAGCTGCTGTAACTTGGAATATGACACAGTGCTAGTTTATCTACCTTGACTGGGGCCCTTTAGCATCTGAATGAATTTATTCCGTGCCCCTGTGACAGAGGGCACTTGATGATCTACTGTGTAAGATGAACTGAGAGGATCAGAAAACATTAGGAAGAAAAAATAGACTTAAAGAAACAGACCTCTACTAGAGGAGTACAGGCCAGATAGACACTGAACAGGCTGCCCGCAGGGGCATGTCTCCATCGGCTAACCCAGTGCAGAACTGTGGGATGGAGGCAGGTTTCCCCTTTGCCTCCTGAAGCCCTGTCTTGCATGATCCAGAGCAGAGTTCAGGGCCAGCCCCTTGCCTCCCATTCCCCTGCTTCAGCTCTGTGACCAGGTTAAGTGCCTAAAGCCACTGCGTGGAAGGGCTGTGAGTGAGTGGGATAGATTCCATGAGTTATGTCTTGTGTCCCTATATCTAAGATCTGAGACAAAAAATATCGTCCTGAATAAAGTCTTCTGGGATTCAGGACAGGGGTCTCTATTCTGGAACTATCCTAGTCACTCTGAGACAACTAGTCCACTGACTGAATGAGCTGGTTATGCTTCTTAAGTCTCAGAAGGCAAGTGCAGCTCATTCAGCGTTGTGCCTTATCTTCACGACACAGAAAGAGAGACTGCATTTTGTGTTACAGAATAGTTCTTGAGCACTGGAATATAATAATTTTTGCTTACCAGGTACTTTTAGCCCACAGATCTGAAAAAGGTTAAGTAGTGGTACCTCCATGCTGCTGCAGAGTGCTGCAGTGGACTGGTATGCCTCTGTGTGCCTGTGCTTTATGGCACAGAGTAATCTGTGGACAGAGAGAACAGAAGGCTGTAGCAAGCCCTTGAGCTGTGTGCCTGCTGGTACAGCTACAGCCCTCCCAACACAAATGCTGAACTCCCACCTGAATGGGCTTCTCAGGAGGCTGATGGATCACTGCTGTGTTAAACAGCAGCAGCTTGCCCTTCATTGCACCACTCTGTGCTGAGATCACCATTTGCACTTAACTGATACTGCCTTAAGCTGTCTCGGATGATCTGTGACATCTACTTGTTTTGCTCGTGGAGTGAAGACTAATCTTCCCAGTTATCATAGTGTAAAAATGTGGCACCACAGAGGCTTTGAATTCACGTAGTTGTTTAAAACAGGGAAAACACGTAAATGACCAACTTATCGTCACTTATTGCTTGAAGTCACTGTTTGAGCACTGAGCAGTCATTTAACTCTCATTTTTGTATGAAGTCAAAGTTTGGGCCAGGTGATATCTATTGGTCCACAACATCAAGATGAATTTTCACTGGGGAGAATATCTTGCTGTGAGCTTTGCAGATGATCCCTGAAATCACCCCATTTTTTGCTAACTAGCCTCCCATGGTTGCTGCAGAGCTACAAAGTGACTCTTTCTGCTTTACTTTTTTTTCTATATGCTTCTTGTTTTAATTGGCATCACTAATTAAAGCAATCAATTGAGTTTGAATAATATTTTCTCTGGGATCATATACTGTCTTCTGCTAGCTAGACTCTCAGCCAGGGTCTCGTCTGTATAAAAGCAGCAAGATATTTCTTGGTGTCTCCATCACACTCCTGCACCCTGATTCTTTATCTCTGCTAAGAGCTCACCCGACAAAGAAATGCAGGATGCTCAAACCCGTTTAATTCCACGGGAGTGGGAGCACTTCACACTGTCCAAATTACATACAGCACCTGGCAGCATCAAGAGACAAAACAAGAAGGAATATTTTAAAAAAGAACTAACAACACAACAGGAACAATATTTGACTATGTGAATACACAAAGGATCCACAGAGAGAAAGCAGTGACAGATTTTAGCCCTTTTCAGTCTGCGTTTAAATTTGCTTCCACCTGACTGATCTGTTTGCTTGCTGAACAAATAAGGTAACCAGAAAATAATTTGTAAATCCCAAACAGCAAATATTTCATATGCATAATTTATTTTAAAGTTTATTGCGTCACATTATACAAGCATTAAACATGGCTTTATGTTGATGATTTTTTTTAAAGTGTGAAAACTTGACATTCTTCTCCATAGGATTTTTTTATTTACAAATAAACAATCTCTCTATATACTTTATATATATATATTATATATATGGTAAATAACATAACTCCCCTCAGAAAGATTTAAAATAAAAAAGAACTGATTTGTAAACACGGTTTCTGTTGTAGTATTTGATGGCTTGAACGCAGATGATGTTCTATACCTAGGATTTTTCTTAAAGTATCCAGGTTGTTCATTAACATTTTTTAGTCTAAGATCTGTAAAACCAGCATGGGACAGAATGCAAAAAACGTAGCAAACAGGCTGAAAAACAGTCCCAATATACAATTGTTTTTTTCCTTGGTTTTAAAAACTGGCGTGTAACTGCTCATGAAGTACATGCTTGCTGTCAAGAGTGGTCTATGGAGATCAATCCTATGCTGATTGCAAGATGATTTCACAGTAAATCCTTTGATGTGTGCTGTCCCGCTCGCTATGTAAAATGTCTGTGGCATGCATTGAGGTTGCATTTTTTCTCATTCCCTTGAAGGTAGTGCTCTTGTGGAGCTGGAATAAGTAAACAACATATAGGATGGTCACCTGGAGGTTTAAACAAAACCCATCATCAGATCAAAAAAAAGGGAATGGCATAAATTTGCTATCTAAAGACCATTCAAATGGCATTTATTATTATTAGCCTATTATTTATATCTTCCTAATTAATGAAATAAATAAAAAGGGGTCATCTTTCCTGAGCGTTCTGTTATATAACTCTGAAAGACTCAAGGGAAATCTATTCACAGCACACTAGCAGCACAGAAACCTTGGTGGGTTGATGAGTCAACATCAAGTGGCAGAAATGTTACTCAGGATCTGCCAGGGAAGGCAGAGCCCCTTTCAGCACTGCACTCGGCACATGCTTGGTAAGCAGCCAACTCATGTTCTCATTTAGAGCAGAACAGGACACAACTTCTAGCAATGTATGGTCATGAAAACTCATCATTATGTTGCTATGTTGAAAACTATTCTCAAAAGCAATTATAATTTATTGTATCTCTGCTGCACTTTATTTGTTTTGGCACATTATATTGCGGCGTTCCTCTGAAGAGGAAGTCAGTTTATATTCTACTAGGTTTCACTTCAGTTCTCGGAAGTTACTGAGATCTATGTTGACAAAGCTATATCTTGCTGCAGGAGTTTGCAAAGGATCACACTTGTATGGGTGACACTGATTTTATGCATGACTCATGTCTCACTTTACTACTTAGCAAACAGTTTCTAAGCTCTTGTCATCTGTTGTTTTAGCTATTTAAGAGAGGGTATGCAAACTAACCCAATCACTCATGTGAATTTGGTCTGAATGTGATTTCGCACAGCAATCCTTCCCTGCAAGTCCCCAGACTGCAAGTGCAGTACACACCCGTAGGTGGTGGGTGGCAAGTACTAACCCATCTGGCACATGTGCATCGGAGGATGACATTGCCCGATCCCCATCCCCTGTTTACTGAGACAGAAATACCCCCGTTTCTCCACTGCCCACCAGGGATGTGTCCACAGCTGCTGTAAGCTGAAGCAAAGATGAACAAGTTCACTCCCTCATTAGGCAGGAATACACCCCACTCAGTTTGGCACTGAGTCAACAGAGAACAGTTTAATCCTGAAATTCCTTCAGTGCTTATGTTGCCTTATGGGACCTCCTGGCTTGGGCCAGGAGCACCTGATAAGTGGGAGCTGCTGTGCCATTTATCTTCTTCATGTAGGATGATGGGTTACTACTGGAGGAGGTTCCTTGCCATGAGGAAGCGAAGTGTAGGCAAGCAGAGGGTACAGAGGAGAGGGTACATACATTTTCTTCCACCCCTCTCCTTCCTCAGGCCATATTACCTTTCATTAAAACCTTCCCCCTGCACGGAAGTAACACAGTTCTCCGCTGAAGTGGAAAGAAGTTAAAAGATCTGATTTGGCAATATGGGGTCCTGGTGCAAATGGTCCTGATGTCTCGTGGAGCTTGAGGCATCCATCCATACGGTCTTGCATTGTGTGGTCTGTCCAGAAGGGCAAATTCGAGCCCTTCTATTGAATGATTTCCAGGAGAACTTGTAGAAACAACTTGCTGATTTTTCCTCCTTCTTAAATATCTCCAAACTAACAAGGTCACAATTCCTTAAGTTTTCTGAGAGAACTAATTTTTATGGAGCTCCAGTTATTTGGAAAAGGGCTAAGCAAATAGATCAGCTCCAGTGTTTTGTATCTAGCTCTGTCCTCACCAGGACATAGGCTTACTTCCACTTGGCTTCTTACAGTCTTGGCTTTTGAACATCCTTCTTCACCTTGTGGCTGATTATGCCACTGCATGTTCTGCAAGAATTGGAGTGTTATCACGTTGAGGCAAGAGGTGGTAGAGATTTCACAATACTCAGCATTCTGATTCATGTTGCTCCATCCAACGCTTCTGCAGTCTTCAGACCTACAACTCCACTATTTTGTGTTAATTATCTGGGAAATTTTAAATTTATTAATGCTAAAGAATTTGCAAAAGGATGTAGACAGTGGCCCATTTCACCCAAATCTAATTCTCTAGCTTGTGTAGAATTGCTCTGCATAAAGGATTTCAACCTATTTCATACTACAGTCTGTTGTTTTATGCTTCCCCTCCACCCCTTCACAGATAATGAAAGAATGAAAAGAAAATGTTACAAGTGTAGAGATTCTGGATGACTGTGTTCTTTTGCTCTGCTGACCTTGTTCATCTGTTCTTTTGTTTTACTTACATAGATAGGTCTTTAAGACACAGTCTGTCTTCTGTTACATGTATTGTACAGCCTAATTCCTGATGAGGCCTCAATGTGATCTTGCAATACAAATTCACAGGCAGTTCTGGGCAAGATGCCCTAGCCTGATTTGTTTCCTTCAGAGACCAGACAGTCCTATAGCTGAAAAGGCACTGTTCAAATCTTTAGAGCAAATTACCAACTTTTCACAGTATCATTTCTAAATAAATGACCCTACAGTTAGATACCCCTGGCCACATTTAGATGCTTGTCTATCTGTCCGCACTTCTGCACACCTACATTTTTCAGCATCGTTAGACCAGTTGATTAGACTCATGATCAAACATCTCCTCCTAAAAAATACTTCAGTATTGTTGGAGTAATGGAAGTGGTCCACAAATGTGACCTTAATCCGTGGTAAATGCAAGCTAACACAGCTTAATCCACGCTGGAAGAGGGCAACGTTGCCATGCATGTGCTGCAGGTGGTAGCCACACACAGACAACTACTGCCATGCTGCCAACATGCCGTCACTGGTTATGGAGTGGCAACTTGGTCATGGGAACGAGCCATAAGATCACTCTGTACAGTAAAGCACTGTAAGATATATAACTGCTTCGCAGTTCAGGGCCTTGAATTTAAGTCAGTGCCTGGGAGCTTCCTGGGAAGAGAGCAGAGTCTTAAGCATTGCTCTGATCTGCTCATGCTGACGTTAGCTCTGGAGAAGACTAAGCCTTGAAAGACCTCTAGTTTCAAAAAGCTTATGACAATATGCACACTATTAAACACGGGGGCACATGTGCTAAGTGCACACAACATTGACTGACTATTCCTTTCAGTGCACTCTCCATTGTAGAAAACCAGGAATTTTTTATAAACATAATTCCTATCTTCATTTAAGCAGATTCTTCCTCACCCCATCATGGCCATTCATTGTGATAAGATCTTCCATTCTTCTTCCTTTCCTTCCGCTCTTTCTGCAGACGTTCTAGTTCAGCTTCATACATCATTTCCTGAATCAGGTACTTTTCTCTCCTCATCCGATCTCTCAGATCTTTTGGGAGATCTGGGATTAAGTAGGAAATCAGGTGCTTTATGCAAAAGACAAGGTGCTGTGAAAACAAAAAAGGGATGAAAAATTAAAATGTTAGGAAGAAAACAAGTACTTTCCATATCTTCTGAAAACCTTCTCCTTCCAATTCACAAAAAGACGCTGTGTTAGAACCAAATTCATTAATAAATTTGGAGAAAACAAACCATGAAGATTCTTCCCCCAAAAAACTCCAGCCAAAGTCAGTGGAGTATGGATTGCAGCAAAGGTTATGAGCAGCTGGGTTCAAATAAGGCCTCAAATCTGTTGTATGACCCGTGTGTTCAAACCCCTGAGGTCATGATTTGCTGTAAGGTTGTCTGGGCAGAGCCTGGTATTAGTGGATTGCTCTGCAGGAAGAGGAGGATCAAATGATAGAATACTTTCCTGTTGCCAGAAAACTCTTGCATCAGTGTTGGAACCAATGAGCTACCTATGCAAAATAAAAACATTTTTCCTTATACTGTGTCTCTCATCCAAATACATATTCTCATTTACTAAACATCACAATTAAATACAAAATAACTGATCCTTTGTCCCTCATGTTTTAGGCATGCCACAGCAAAGTTTGAGTGTGATGGGGGAGGATTGCTTGGGTGTCCTTTTTTGTTTGATCAAAGTGCTGCTTGGTGATTTACTCACTCCACTAGAGAGGAGGAGCAGAGAAACAAAAAAGTCCTCCGTCTCAGAGGGGACACTCATTCTATATTGGAGAAATAAAGGTATTTCTTCTTCTCCAAGCAGAACCCTTCCTTTGAAAGCCACTGAAGAGAACATGTAACATGTTTTTTCTCATATTCTTCCCTCATGAGAAATAAACCCGCAATGCTTCAACTGCTTTTTTTTTTTTTTTTTTGTCAAACCTTAAAAAAAGGAAAAAAAAACATGTTCTGCCAGTTTAGGCTGGACAAATAATTCCTTTTGAAGTGATAGGAAATAGTGTTGTTAGTTTTCAAGGGAGGTCAAGATAGCCAAAATAACCACACCCACAGTGCCGAAAAGGTGTGTGAGTTTAGGTGGTCATTTAATTTATTAAAAAAACCTACCTCGAATCACTTATCTCTTAGTGTAAGCTTTTACTGTAATTGCTATAGCAATCACAATACACCCATTAATGTTTTCCACAGAGAAAGACAGTCATGGTTTCTGCAGCAATTACCTGTTTGACAGTTTGCAGTGCCAATAAAGAGAGTTGCCTCTGTTGAGGCAGACAGCTATGAGCCAGCCTACAGCTTTGGTTGGGGCAAAGCAAAGTCAAATCTCTTGTGCAAGTATTGGGCAAACACAAAAAGCTATTCCACAGCAGGTCAGAAATTTGGCTGGGCACTGAGACTTGAGCAGGGCTGATTTTTCTTGCCTCAGTTATCTTTGCCTTTATGCCATGCTGCCTTTATGCCAAGTGCGTATCAAGAAGCCAGGCTCTCTTCAATATTAAAACTACTTAGGCTCTGCCAAGGCCATTCTTGTAGTCTTTTTTGGAGGCAGATACCTTGGCTCTCAGTACCAACAGCTCAAGAAACAAAGAAATCAAGCCCATCAGGCCTCTGTCAAATTTCTTTTTTCCCTTTCCCTTTCCCTTTCCCTTTCCCTTTCCCTTTCCCTTTCCCTTTCCCTTTCCCTTTCCCTTTCCCTTTCCCTTTCCCTTTCCCCTTTCCTTTCCCCTTTCCCGTTTTCCCTTCCTTTCCCCTTTCCCATTTTCCCTTTCCCCTTTCTTTCCCCTTCCCATTCCATTTCCCTGAGTGTGGTAGAGATGACAGAAGAGCCACTCTCCTTAGGACCAACCTCTAATGACTTAGTCCACTGCAGAGGAAGAGAGAGCCCAGCCTGCATTGACATATTCCCCCTCCATTTGGGAAGGGCTGAAAATGACAACTGGGGGAATTCATTGCAGACCTCAGGCTTCTGCTAAGCCACCAAAACACCTCTATGCAAGAAATAATCTAGAAGATGTTTCCCTTCCTACCTTTCCTCTCATTCAAATGCTTCTGTTTTGTGATCCAAAGAGGTGCTTCAGAAGCTCAGTTCAGAATGAATTTCCATGGTAATGTGAGTCAGAAATGCAGTATGTGCTTATGAACATTATACCAATAATTTAAGGTGACTACAGCTTCCATATTTCTGTTGGAGGCCCTGTTGCTATGATTTCAGGGCAGAGGACTGAGTAAAGAGTTTTAAAAAATCTTTTGTTCCCTGTTTGGCTTCTTCACAGTGTAAAAGACATTTCAAGCTACTTGTGCTGGAAAGATGCTGAGCCCCTGGTTTCTGGCAGGGATATTCAGGCACCTGAAATTCAGGCCTTAAGAGCTGCATTTTGGTTTTTGTTCTGTAAATTATCTCATCCTACTTATCTATCCTCCTGCCTCCCTTTTTCACAATCAGCATGGGAATACCAGTCATATGAAGTTGGTATTATCTTCTCTGGTTTGTCTTAAAGATTTCTGAGATCCTGACAGTAAGTACTAGTATTATGAAGATTGGCAAAGGTATTGAATTCTTTTCATCATCATCATCATCTTTGTGATGCTAATCATTCTGGAGAAATGAATGGTATTTAAAAAATAGAGAAAAAAGCTAGATGTGTAAATATTGTATCTTAAACTATCTTCATTTTTCAGCTGTTCAGGTTTCATCTTTTCTTCTCATGTTTCTTCACCTCTTCCTCACACACTGAGTCAGCATACAGCTTCCCAGTCTAGACAGGTTATGAATGCCAGACCTCAGAAAGTAAATAAAAGCTTTGTTTATTTCCCCTCTTTGCAAGTCACTATTATAGTTTTCAAAGCACTGCATTCCCCTTTTTGTTAGAACCTAAATATCTGTGACTGTTCAGAAAACAGATTGGAGAATACAAAGCACAATATAAATAGCAGAAACTAACACATAAAGCTTAACAGCTGCCATCATACATTGGCCCAACAAAAAAGCTTCAAAGAGAAATTTGCTTCATTTTGTTGGTTTTGTTTTGCCACCTGAATGGTCACTGACCTCAAATACAATAATGAAAGCCAGCCGCGCTGCTAAGACATGCCAGAACTGCAGCGTGTAACCATAGGGTACTGGGGAGTGAGGAGGATCTCGGTAGTCCCTGTACCTGAAAGACAAGCAGAGTATGGTAGTTAGCAAGCTCCTGCCCTGCCACCAGGGAGGAAGGCAAACCCAAAACTTAACTGTTCTAGATGATTGCATTTTCTGCATCAAAATTATCTCACTGTACAGGTTACCACAACACTGCTTGCTCCTTAGGCTGGGCCTACACTAGTGTTTTATTTCAGATCAGGTGCATGCTTTTAAAACGAGTGTCCTGTTCACCTCCACTTGCCATGCTTCAGTTCACCCCAAAGGGTTTACTTTTAGATGAAACCTAACGGTAAGATGCACTCCAGGAGCACACGTTGTGCTCCAGCTGCTAATGGAAATTTAGTGCAAAGGACGGGGCCAGTGCCTGTATGAACCAAAACAGCTGAAGCAAATACAGAGGATGCTGAGTGCTCAGCACCAGCAGTTTGACCCTACAGCATCTCCCTTGGCAGCTCAACATGGGCCTTGCAGCCACCTCCTCAGAACATGGAGCAGGGTGGGATGCTCTGCTGTTTTGAGGGCCATTTTCTTTCCACTACAAGTTCATTTTAAAACCATAAATGTCCTTAATTTTGTCAGCCTGAAAACCCTCCCAAAATCACAGTAAAACTGCCTTGTGGGCTCCATCTGGCCCTAGGTCAATCAGCTGGCCATCCCTAGTGTAAAGCATGATTCATCCTGACTTTAGTGGAGCCAGAACTGCATCTCTTGATATACCATCAGGGCAAGGGCTGTGTAAGAAAGGGATTTAGTGTCTTGCCTCACAGAATGTTTATTTAAAGACTTTAGATCTCAATAACATAACTCAAGGTATCCACTGGGAAAAGTGGATCCAGGAAGACTCCAAAATGACATTAACAAGTCATAAATCTATTTAAATCACACATTCTGGAGTCCATTTCTACTAACAGTATGTTAATTTCAAAATACTATTGCAGAAACTTAATTTAAAAGTAGTGTAGAAATCGTTTTCTCCTTAATCTATTTCCTAGATGAGACAGAAAACCCATAACAAAAAAAAAATATTAAAAATACCATAGTAAATAATATACATAAGGTTGATCTCTAAGTTAGTTTTAAGAAACTAAAGAAAACTCAGATAGGCAAAAGAAATAAACCGTTATTTCATCTCTATGATAACCTGTATTTCTCCCTGAAGGTTCACCTCCTTAGATTGCAGAGGGTGCTACAAAAAATGAAATAAACTGTGTCTTGATATCTTAGTCAGCAACAAACCTCTCTTAAACTGCAGTATCTCTAGTGCAAGTTCTTAAAACTGAGATGATATTCCTTTCTGTAAGCAGCATTCTGAATTCATAGTTTAGGATATTTTACAATGTCCTAAGCATCTTAAAAATAGAAGTCCCTGGACCAAGTCTCAAGTCAGAAGAGCATGTCTCCTTTTTGTACTTGCTAATAACCAAGAACTACACATGAAGAAATGGGGATACCTTTTATCACCAACCAGAGTAACATGGCACCATCTGGGTTCCAGACGAGCAAAATTTAACCGAATATGACTGCTGTTTTTTGTTCAGACAGATTGCCTTCCTGGAAAAATGCTTACACTATTGCACAGTAGAACATAATATTTCCTTACCTCACTATCAATATCTGTCTTGAAATGCAATTAAAATGACTGATATTTTAGCAGAATTCAGGTGGGTTAAATAGCTGATAAACTCAGCTAAAGAAAGATGTTAATTTTCTTTCAAGGGTAGATATACATCACAATTCAGTGTCCTCCAAAAGAACAGATTTATCTTCTGCAGATTTATGGCACCAATTTTAATAGTGTTCTGTTTATGGGATATGGAGGGGACAACTTTTTTATTATGGGATTTCCACCATTGGCTTTAAGTAGCAGCAAACTCATGCTTGAAGTTGGGGAAGAAAGGAATTAAAGAGGGAAAAGAGAATGACCAGAATTACAAAACATTATTAAATGGTGCTATAACAAACCATGTGGAATGGAGTATTCTCAGAGTGGTTCTGCTCCACGGAAAATTTTATATATGGATTCAACATTGGGATGTTCTTTCTTCCAAATAAGTTGCAACAGTCTTACATATCAGTTAGTTAAATGAAAGCATTAATACCACCCACCCCCTCAGTTCATTATGCTATACCACTTGAATTTCTTATTATTAATAAAAATGGCACAATATCACAAAGTATCAGTGACATTGGCTGTGCCACAGGGTATCTTTTGTTCTTTAGGTACTTGTGAAAAGATAATTTAATTCTTCACCGTGAAAAATTGCCATGGTTTGGGACTAAGTGTATCTGCAACTACCGGGACTCGTGTTTGTAAAGCAATGTTGCAATAAAAAAATGGTAGCTGTATTTGTTGTTTGGTATTTTTGATTGGGACCCCATCTAAGAGCTTTATGTAGATCCTTGATTCTTTGGACAAATAAAATCAATCAGGTACAAATCTATCATTACAGACTAGTCTCAGGCTGCTATTTCTCCAGGCTCTTGGCTGAGGACAAAGACATACAGATAATTAACTGCTCATTTTATTTTGATTCAAACCACAATGATTATTACTAATAATTACGCCTGTAAGAAGTGATATAAACATTCAACAATTAAGAAGTGCTGGATTTGAGGTTTCATAAAGGTAACTTAGCACAGACCCTGTTTATGCCTGGCAGACATGAGAAATAACTCAGTGTGGTCACTTCTGTGCAACCTTCACCTCCTTCTACACGTTCTAGGATCTAATCTGATTACAGTTTCATCTCACTGGTACCTAAGTAATCAGTCACCTATTACTGGCCCTTTGATAACACGTTTCTCCATGATGGTTGTGTCTGATTCAAGCCATGACTCCATAAGAATCCTGCACTAGGAATACCTGCCAGATAACCACTTTTTGGTTTCTCCTGTATCTAAGGGAGGAATCATGCAGGTAACAGCCAAGCAGTAGCATGAGCATATCCCTGAATAGCATAGTTAATTCTTTTCATTACTGTTTTTTAAGTTCCAAAAATTATTTCCAACCCCAAATTTAACATGATGCTTCTCCCTTGCAATGTCTTAAAGCAGAGAGGTATTTTGACCAGATACTTACCTGCAATATTTTAATGGTGAACCAGAGAATTCACTTCCATTTGATGTTGGCTCTGAACGGTTTTCAAAGTCAGACACCAGAAATACTGATAAACTGGCATTAACATATCCAACCATACACCTAGAGGGGAAAAAGCCTGTAGTCAAGACACAGCAAGGTTCTTCCAGTAACTGCTGTACTCAGGAGGATGTTCTCTGGGTTTCATGAAATCCACAGTATAACTGTGATGCTTATTAATATTTGAAAGGGATGTTGAGGCAATATAAAAGAAATAATCAGGTAGGTCAGATGGGAAATAAAAGTGAAGCAATAGTAGATTTCTATGGGAGAAGAAATGGTGAAGACCGGGACTAGTTACTTTTGAAAAGGAAAGTCATCTAAAAGATGACAAAATAGAGGTAGAGAAAATAGTGAGTAGCACTAGGAAGATAATTAGAATATTCCCACTGTTACCCTCATGGTACTAGCACAGAGGGACATTAAATCAGATGGAAAGGTGATACACTTAAAACAGCTTTATATAAAATGTCCAGTTAATCAGAGAAACTCAATACTAAAAGATCCCAGGGTGGCTGAGCCCTGGAAGAATCAGGCACAGTTTGGAGAACACTGAGTGGGAGAACATACATTGCCTGACAAAGAGCTCTGGGAGTCACTAGAAGGCTCAAGTTTGGTGTTAATAAAGCTGAGGAGAGATATGGCAAGTGCATTGTGCTGTTCATTCTGCACTGCCTAAGCACAGGTAAGTCTCGGAACACTGCTCAGCTTGGTGCAGAGTATAATGCACAGCAAGGGTTTGTTTGTTGGTTTGTTTTTTAAACTATCGATTTTATAGTCTTGGAGAAATCACATTTAAACACCATCTGGCTTTGTCTCAAAATCTCCATACTGATTGGATTTGGAACTTCATTTAATTACAATATTTTTCTAGTATCACTGGGTGTCATATGGATCTAATACCTACAGATGTTTTTTTGAAAGAAAAAAGCATCTTTCTCATTTAAGTTATTCAGTAGCAGATGTTCTTGACTCCTTAATTTGAGAAAATTCAATATTCCTGTAAATTTTTTAATAGCTTCCAATTTTTGTAACAGTACTTATTAATAACCATATCCAGAATGCTGACATAAATAGTTTTTATCCAAGTTGGCTTCTTCAAAAGATTATTATCTAATAGTTTCCTTTAGAAATTCACTCAGAAAAGTAGCAGAAGTGTGAAAACACTGTACAAGAGGTTTGTGAAAATATGATAAAAGCTTCCTTAGTGAGCCAAGCTACTTCTCCTGTGCAGAACTAGTTTCACAGCCAGTAAGTCTTATTTGAATCTTCATAAAAATTAAATTTCTAAAGGTGTTGTTTTTTTCATGCATGGTGGACCTGAGAAAATCAGTAGCAAGGGAAGTTGCTGACAGTGCCTCAGTGTCCTATGGATCTTCATAATGGCACAAGCACAGGCGCATGCTCAGGAACGAATGGCACCAGACCAAATACTTTATCCATGAAGGGATTTTAACTCTTCATGAAAATAAATAGAACCTTTCCTCTGGCACCGATTGAAATGCCAACTCCTTGCAGGACAGCAAGTTAGCAACACTGCTAATCAAGAGCTGCCACACCAGCTGCCCTTCCATCAGTATGATTAAACAGTATTGACAACCAAAAGATGGCAAAAAAGCAGCAACAGAAGAACTTGCCTTCTGTAGCAGGGAATAAAAATCAATCTGCCATATGTCTAATAGCAGAATGTAAGCTCTCTCTCACTGTCTCTGTTTAGCTTGGGTTTCTTTGAATGGTGGGGTCCTTGCTAATGGAGCTGCTAAGAGATCATTTGCAAACTGTGTCTGTTTGCGCTTAGCTGGATTCAGTGACCTTCCCCAAGACCAACAGCCTAGATTTTACAAGTTGCTGTGTAGCAGCTATACTCATACTTGCTGGTAGCGTGCACCTGTTAATATGGCCTCAGTGTTTAGTAACACTGAAAGAAAATCCACTTGGGCAGCAGAGATTCCGTTCACAAATGTCTCCTGAAAGATGTAATCTAAGGACTCCAGTTTTAGAAGAAAAAGAAATTACTTTGCTCTGTAGGTATATCTTGATTTATTAGTTGGGGATTGCTTCCTCTTGTTAGACACTACTTTTTTTTGAGCAATACATGCTGAATGCTACATCAGAAAAAAAAGCCTAGTGAATAAGTTTAAAATGCTCATTAAATCTGTAACTGATAAATAACAGCATCACTTCAGAATGAAAAGAGGGTTATATCCATGTACACCAGCTGGGAAATGCAGCTTGTGCAGCATACTGTTACACACACCAAATCTCTGTAACAGTTCTGCCATGTTTCCCTTGAATTGTCATAAATTATAGTCACTCAGCAACCCATTCTGTGAATATGAAAAGCATCAATATCTGTGGCTGATAAGTATTACCTAAGCACAAACAATAAATCTGAGTCAGTGGAATTAGAACATACAGACTGTACTGCTGTATCTATTCAAGTAGTAAGTAATTTTCATGCGCATTTATTTTCCCAAAGAAAAGCTTACTTTTGTCCAGCTTCTCCTTGGCCAGCACAAGGTCCATATTTGTAAGCATAAACAAGGCGAGGGATGAAATCTGATGTCACAGCTATAACAAATGCATTTGTGATAACAGAAAGAATTCCAATGCCTTCTAGGATCCCATACCAGATTCCTGTTCAACAAGGAGAGTATGTTAGCTCCAGGAAAAGCAAGAATCAAAATCCCTGAGATACTGCATGCTCTGAAGCAGTTGTCTCTACTACCCAAGGTTTTTTAATGTAGTTTCTATCCAAGACTCACTGAGTAAAAATAATTTGTCTTATTGAACAGCAGGACCTCAGTGCACCCAGATTTCTATTCCCACTGGGTGAGAATTTTGTTCATCCTGCAAGTAATCTCAAGGAAGCTGCAAAAATGCTCATGGAGGCCTTGGCTCCACCAAGCCACATAACCATGTGGGCAGTTTTAAGAAACGCTGTTAAGCCTCCCTTGCTCATGATGACAGCTATCCAGACTTTGAGGAGGGTCTGACAGGGCAGCCACAAATACATGCAGTCAGTGATCTGCCTGTCACAGGAGCTTTGCGTGTAACTCATGCACAGAGGGTCAGCATGTACCTATTGGCATCAAAATCTTCGTGGCGTGATACTACTATACAATGGCACACAGCCCCGAGGCATCACCTGGGCTTTTTGGCCCATCCTCAGCCATCTGACTGATCTTGTGGTACAAGCACATAGAAACTCTGGCCATGAGGACCACCACTGAGAACCACACCAAAGGAAGGTTAGATATACCTATTGATTTTAATGAGGCATCAAGCTGTCCCTGAAAACTTTGCTGAATAGGGAGTGAATGCAACTTATTTTGAGAAATCACAACTGAATCGGCCTAAAAAAAAGAGTCTATTTTTCTGTGCTTTTACTATTTACGATGTATAACTGTTTTTTTTTGGGGGAATTATGTCTGCAGTGTACACTGTGTACTGGCTAATCTCCAGGCTTGCACCTAAACTCAGATCTACAGTGTTCCCACACAAAGTTTTACTCAGACCCAGATTTTAGATACACGGTAGACCATTCTGGGAGCACCAAGCCTGGACTTATGCTTTTTCATGGTGTGGGCTACTGGTTTTTGAAACGCAGATGGGCAGCGAGATATCCTATTTACTCCCGCAAAGACACCAGGGATTCAGTGTTGGTCAGATGTCCTTGCTAAAAGGTGTTCTGCTTTTGGACACTGCAAGGGCAGGAGAGATTTATAGTCAAAATATGTTTAGAGAGCCCTTGCAGTAGTGTGTGGCTGAGTGACCTCAGAGTTTTGTAAACCCTGTGTTTAGCAATGTAGGTGTGCCTCACTGAGAGCAAGTCATCTCTTGGGATCTAGACCTACTCTGTCTGACCCACCATGGACTTAGTGGGCATAACCCCTGAGTCACAGGGGAGCTTGGTTTTGGCCAGGTAAATATGAAACACACAGGTGCCTTACAGAATGGTGCCTGCTTTAACTTGACTTTCATGTTTCAGCTGCTCTGCCTGGTTATTATATTCAAAGTGAGCAGTGGCATGTGTTCACGCAGTGTGCCTGCCACGAGGAAAAACCTGCAGAGAACACTGATCACTTTATGAAAACATCTTGGCTGTTAAGTCACCCAGAAAATAATTCAAAGACATTTTCCAATTTAGACTATTAATTGCATAAGTAGATTTACATCAGATACTTGAGGTTTTTTTGAACAATCAAATTGTGCATTGTTAATAGGGAAGATGACTGAAAATACCTTAATGTGCTCTTACTGGAAGTGGTCAATGCTTTGCCTTAAAAATAACACATCCACATAACAAACACACATACAAAGAGCTCACCTATATCTTTGGCTCTGGAAGCTAAAGGTCTTCTCCACTGGGTGACAAATTTGTATGCATCAAGCCGAATTTCAATAATATTGTTAAGTAAGGCCAGAAGTGGTGCCAGTGGAAAAGCTGCCACAAAAATGGTTGTGAACCCAAACTGAAGAACTAGGAAAAAAAGGAAAGATCACAGTATAACTGATAAAATATCACCCAAGGTCTAAGATACCAAATAATATATGCATATAAATATTATGTATAAATATAAAAACATTTCTTATTATGCCATACCATACAATAGTCTGCTGACAATTGTGCAGCAATTTCTTGCCAAAAGTTCAGAGCAAGGACAACAAGAACAAACGCCCATCTCTTACTGGGATGGACAGCAACATCTAGATTTTGTAATTTGGAGTGAAGTTTGGAGGTGGACAAGATACTTTTAGAAAGGGACATTTTTACTCCAGCATCAACTAGGATCTCTTAATACCTGCAAAGATTAGGGCTGAATACATTCCTTTTTATAGTATAGATTGGCAGCAGTCTGAAACTTTGTGTAAGTTTCTAGAGGCATGTTTTCAGACTGACGAATTTCCCATTAATTTGAAAATAATTTTGTGAGGGAGAAAAGAAAAACACAATCACGACAAACGTAGTTCAGTCACATAGGGCAAAAGTTCTTGTTCTTTAACATTTCTTTGAGCAGTTATCCTCCGTTCTCCTCTGGATAGAGCAATGCTTTTTGGCAGCAAGCTACTTTGTGAGGTAGTGAATGATGGTGTTTATTAAACATAAAGATGCACATAGGTCTGTACCACGCAGTTTAAAAATAAAAGCCCAAGGGAACTTCCTTTAGTAAAGAACAACAAAGTTCTTCAGAAATGTATGCAGGTGAAGAGGAAATTACAGCCCACATTAACAAAAAAGCCACAACATTAAAATCTAGTGAAAGAGAGAGAACAAAGGTCAGTGCCATACTCATTTCTAGATACTCATCAAAGAGTCCATAAGCATTCATAGGTTGCAGATTGTAGTCCTTTTCCCACTGTGGGAAGCTTGTTTTTCGTTGTGTGCCATACTCTTGTCGTAGTTTTCTCCTGGTCCACCAGTTTTGAATTAGCCTACATTTTCAAATAAATTAAAGAAACAAGGTAAATAATATAGTGATTGTTTATCACAGAATTGGAAGAGGCTATAAGTGTGCACAACATACTTTGCAAAATTAATCTCCCAATACACAGGAAAATAGAACATTAGTAATACATGTGGCTGATGACATGGCATAATAGATATGAAAACAGATAAAGCTGGTGGGTTGTAATCTGGACCTAGATGTTGTTAAAATGGTGTAGGGATTTTGACATCTTTTCATTATTTATTTACCTTCTCTTTCTTTACACACAATGGTAAATCACTTCAGGGTCTGTTTATAGGGCAGAATGCAATGCTGTGTGGAGATAGTTGAGCTCTAACTGAGAATCAGTAAATAGAGTGCTAAGGCTGCTTGGTCCCTTCCTGTGTGCAAGCCAGCATCTCTACATGGCTCTACAGTGTGCATGGTAACAATCCCCCGGCAGTCCTGGAAGGGAAAAAGCAACCTTGAATGGTGTCTGCAGCCAAACATTGGCAGAAAGAAATGTGTGGACTACTGACAACATGTGGTGGCCGAGAGGTGGGTGGCTGACGTGAGAGCTATCTCCATCTCAAGAAATGTGGGAGCGGTACTGGATTTCAGAGGGAAGATGTTGTTCCTGAAGAAACACATGTGTAGGGGCTCCTTGGGAGGCACTGAGCCAGAAGAGAAATGAGTGCTCACATCTGAAATAAACACCTTTGCCATTTCAGGTCAGTGTGTCACACTGGTTTGACCAACAAAGGACACGAGTTACAGTTGGTATAGAGACAAAAAAAAAAAAAATTAAAAAAAGTGACAGAGATTTTCTCCAAAGTTGTTGTTGGTCCCTTCATCTCAGCAAGATAGAAGGTGGTGGCTCACCCAAATAATTCAATCCTTTCCCTGACTGTGCTTCTCTTCTTGCCTTCAGAGTGGGCTGGCCTTGGCTGTGAATGGAAGGCCACTGGATTTGGATAAGAGTTTGGCTAATTGCTTTTCTTAAAGTTTAGAGATTATTTTTCCATTCAGGCCATTTACCAGAGAGGTTATAGCTTTTCCTGTCTTCCTTAAAGATGTGTAGTTGTAGCTGAGTGCAGGATATTACAATCTAGAGCTCAGAAGTGCATGAAAAAAATTTAGAAGTACAAGCATGAACTTCAAGCCAAAATTTGGAAGTACAAGAAATTCTTAAAATATTTGGGTTTAGCAGCTTGGAGCCAGTCACTAGTGTGTAAAAAGCCTAAAAAGGCCTTTCCTGTGAATGACCATGGTTGTGGCTGATGAACTGTGGGACAGTTAAGGGCACATCTTTGCAGTCCACAGCACTCTCTGTTACTTTGCCTCTCTAGTCCCGCCCCTGAGAAAATGAGAGGGCTGGGAACCGGATTCCACCAAAGGCATCAAATTGAGAGGTGAGGTGGGTGGGAGACCAATATGCTGAGGCAGATCCCAGTTAACTTCCTCCGTTGTGAGAGGAGAAACCCATAACCAGTGTTACTAAATATCTAAGACTCTTTGTGAAATTCAGAGGTATCATCTTCTGATTTATGTGTGAGCAATATGTGAGCAAGGTGATGTAATGTAGTTTTAATACGGAGGTATGTTCTTCCTCCCAGAAAAACATCAGCTTGAAATTTCAGTTTTCCACCTCCAAATGAAGCAATAATTTATGCTTTTTTTCTTAGTTATTGCAAATGTATTTATGCAGGAGAGGAGAACTGAGTCACACTTTCAGACGTTTCAAGGTGGTGTTTGTATGAAGCAGAAGCACCACTCTGACATGCCAGTATTTGTATTAAAAATGTAACCACTAAACAATCAATGCTCTTGCACATACTCTAGGACCTCTCTTTGGTATCTTTGAAACCCAGGCTTTAGCTCTCAGACAGCAATTTCGGAAGAGAAGCCAGTGCCACATGTATCAGCAAAAAATACAATGGCAGATGCTGGGGTTCCTGTCACGAAGGAACGCCCGGTGGCATTTCTGACTTGCCCTGTGTGTCTCTGCGGTCCCTGTGGGAGCGCATGCCTGCATGAGAGCTGGGCTGACACCTTGAAATGGTGCAGAAAAACACTCTCCAAAACAGGCTGCTGCTGCTCCTCTCCTAGGGCTGTCTTATGGGGAAATATTCTCTGCTGTCAGATTTGGCACTGCACGGTGCTGGTTCTGCCTGGGTCCCAGCAGGCGGTAGCCAGCACGCAGGTGGAGGTGCAGTGATGTTATACTACAGGCTATAGGATTGTCTCCAAATCCTCTGGCGATCCACATGGTGTTGGCTCTGATCATGGTCTTAGCAGAAATGATCATGTTTGTTTGTTGTTTGTTTGTTTTTTTGTTTTTGTTTTTTTTTTTTTTTTCCTCCACACAAAAAGGAAATGCACTTGCCTGCAGCATTCCAGGGCTAGAAGGTGGACTGAAAGGTCTGGAGAGCAAATACATCTCTCATCAGAATAAGCTGAAGCATCTCATAACATGACTGTGTGTTTTGTGTTGCGATTTTTGTTGTGACTCTAAAGTGAAGAGACTGACTTCATCTGAAGCAGTTTATTCCTATTAAATCACTTGTTCTTAAACAACCTTCTATCTCCTTCAGTCACCTTCTTTAATCTTCTTCTGTGCTGTTTATTAGGTTTCGAAATCCCTATTAATAGGTAACAGAAAGTTCTAATGAAAACTGACAAAAGAGGCAGGGAGCGGAAAGAGAAGGATCAATACTGCTGCTGCTGCTGCTGTTCCCTCCTCCCCACCCCAGCTAATTCCTCCAGCACTAACAGCTGCAAAATTCTGGCAAGCAGTGCTAGGCACAAACCCGGGAAGACAGAGAGATAGAGAGCTTTGAGTACCTTGATTGCCAATTACTCTGTGAATTTAAATCATTTACTGCATTCTTATTACAGCTAGATGTGATCAGCACTGAGGCTGCCCAAAATCGCTTCTGCAAACACATTTCTGCAGTTCAGGGACCAAACAGCACTAGCTCTGCTGTGGATCCTGCAGTGAAGCAAATCCCTCTGAACTTTGCAAGGGCAAACTTTCTGGCAATGTCAGCTCTCTCTTATATTTTCACATTTGCTAATTTTCTTTGATGGCCTGCCACACTGTCTTTTGCATCAACTGTCTATATTAAACATATTAAACATGCTCACTAAATACTAATCATTAAGAAATGAACCAATAGGTAATTAATAACTGCCAACCTTTTTAGCTAGGGCACAGCTCCATAATACCCTGAAGATCACCAGGGAACTTGTCTATATAACAGTCAGTATATTTTTCTAACTCTGAGAATGTATATGCCAGCAGTGCATTTTTTCCAGCTCATACCTGCCCTTTCAAGCATCTTTTATCACCCAGCAAGGAGAAATCCAATTGAGAACTTACTGGCATAGCTAAAAAATGATACATAAAGTATTTCCTGTGTAAGAAATACAACGGTCCTGCAGTTATTTTTAAGGAGTTTTAAAACACAGAATATAATTTCATTAAATCAAGTACTTCCCATATATTATTTATTTGTTAATATTTATATTACACTTTCCCTTTTGAAAACTATGTTCATTGTGAAAAAAACCTCAAACACCATCTATCTCTATGTCTGGAAATCTGCCTTAAGAGTTTTGTATCCTGTATTGTAATGACTACTGTATCTTGCTTTTATGTAACTGGCCATAAGGCAAGCATAAACTTAATATTCTTCTGTGAGCTACAGAAGCATAGGCATTATATTCACTTACGGGTAGCCCAGTTCCATGAAATTATTCCAGGTCTGTTTTAACACCATTATAATACCCATTTGCATACAGAGATCAATAAGGCATCCGCTGGGGTGGCACTACAGAAAAATATAAACAAAAGGTTATACAGAAATAATGCTGATTTTTAAGCATTTCTTAAAGACTATAAATTGATATTACATGTTTTACTTAAAGGATATTAAATGTCATTCTCTTTATTAAAAAAAAAAAAATAAACTCATGGGAACATATGAGACTGTATCCTAACATCAGCCTTATAAGCCTATCACCTAATTCTCTGCAGAGGTCAGAATCAGCTGAAACAGTTTTCACATCAGTGCTTCTAGTATCTTATGCAACTGTGGGTGGGACAGAGGCAAGGGCTACCATGTTTCTCCAATGATTTCAATAGGTTTTGGGGAGGTTGACTGTGTATCAAGCCAAAGGATTAAGAGAAAATGCCTCCTGGCTGCACAGACAGTTTATGACTAGGTGATAGACCTAATACTGATTGTTGAGTACTATTTAATGTATATGACTGAGTGGACCATGCAAAGCTATTCTCTAGAACTAAATGAACTAAAAATCTCTAACTGTCGAACAACAGTTCCTAGTGTCTCTTGCTCAGTGCTTGCTTGCTTTAGCAGTGGCGCCAGACCTTGAAGAAGTGGACAGGTGCTCAGATAGTACAAATTAAGGTAATTCCATAGTTTTTTATCTAGTATTGGAAGAAACAGAAAAGGACCAAAAAGTTTCTGCCCTCAAACAGCACAATTGACTTTGTGGATCCAAACAGTGGAGTCCAAGATGTATTGCTAAATCCTGGGTATTATGGATAAGTTGAACAGATCACTGTCATAGAACTGGAACTGTTTAATTTTTAGGGAGAAAAAATAGTTATGACCTGTAACAAAATGTGATATGAATTTTTTATACATACTGCATTATACAGTGCTCAGAACCTGGGTCACTACTGAAGTTTTTGCTGACCTCATTCAGCTTCTCTTTAGATTAACATGGTGGCAGATTTTTTTTTTTTTTTTTTAAATTGTCTTCTCTGGCATTATTATTAAATCATCATCCTTCTGTTTCTGGGAATCAGTCACGCAAGCCAATATAACCCGAGTGAAGTAGGTGCAGTATTAATGAAATAGCAGTGATGTTACACACATAACATCACCAATATATAAATTTTGGGGTGAATATGCCCACAGACACTGGACTAGATTATATTGTGTCATTAAATGTCTTAGACTTGGCTTCATCCAACAGGTGAAGAGAAGTAATTGGAGGGATATATGAGCATTATATTCTAAATTATATTCCTAATAAGATCTAGCACAGATATGGTCAATAAAGTTGAGACTTTTTTATTAGATATTTCTCTGATTATTAGAGGTTTGTTTTTTTTTTTTTTTTTTTTTTTAAATCTGAGGAAAGCAAAATAGTAGAGACTACTAATAGTAGCTTCCATCAACAACTGACCCAACCTGTAACACCTCGCTGTTGTACTTCCCTCTCAAACCTGGCTCTTTCTTCCTCCCATCTCTGCTCCTGCAGAGAGGTGAGGCTCCCTCTCTGTTCTCAGATCCCTCTGTGAGATGATTTAGCCCAGTAACTCATTGGAAAATTAACTCAGTCAGAAAAAGGAAGTTTCCTGTTGATACAGGGAACTTAGTAGGCTTCTCACAAGGTTGGACAAGCCAAAGCCAGTGCAGAGGAAGAGGAAGGAGCAAACTTCTGGGGTAAGGCTCAAAGGAAGAGCAGAACTGTCTTCTGGCAGCAGCAAGCTGTTAGTTCAGCTCAGCCCCTCTCAGACTTTGGAGCGATGTTCAGTGAATTTCTATCTTCCCATTTATCAAGTATTCTTTTCTTGAATGTACAGAATTCACTACTTCAGAATTAGGATGGCTTTTTCAAATTATTCCTTTTTTTGCTAGCATTTGGATGACCTCTATTAACCAAAGTATTTATATATCTGGAAGTATTCATAAATTCATATTGGCAGTATAAGGACCTATATTTTCCACTTGCCATTTGTCATGTATTTGCAAAGTTGTTTCACTAATTTAGCTGTCAAATAGGAAAGAAACGATGGGATTTGAGTGTGCAAATAACAGTACTGGAGACTACATGACTGGTCCAGAAACTGCTGCTGTTCACCTCCAATAACTGTCAAATGTTTTTTGAATTCTGAATGTATTTGCAAAAAAAATGGGATTGGTTCTTGAGTAACTTGCGAAGTCAACCTTTCATTGCTCTCCAAATCCATTTGGCTTTATAGACATGGAACATTATGCCAGTAGCTGTTTTGGGAATTTTGTTCAGTTGTTTTGATAAAATTTCAAGTACATTTTATGTGTCTGAATTTTTAAGTTATTGTTTTATTATTTTACCTCTGTGGTCAGCAAGGCTAGAAAAGCTGAGAAGAAAGGATTTTTTTAGAAGCAAAAAGTAATCAGATTAACATTGGATTCTGATTCATTTCAAGGTTGAAATACTACCAATATAAAAATGTGAGTAATGTTTAAACCATTTGATAACACTATGGAAATGTGATGCAAACACTAAAACTGCTAGCATTGAAAAGGGCATATATATCAATATGTAGATGTTTTTGTAGCAGTTAGTAGTGCCAGTACTGTGGAGTTGGACGGCAACTGAAAACCCAGTAATACCCTCAAAAATACCCAGACCGAGTTGTGCGTCTGCCTCTGCTTGCATTCGCTGCATCTGTGGGCAGCAGGTAAATCAGTGTGTAGTTAGTGAACACTCACCTCTTCCAGTCTCCACCGGTTTATCAGCCTTAGGTAGGCACCAGGGTGTCCTGTAAATCTTTAACACAGGAATATACATCAACTATGTTGTGTAAACAGTCTGTTCACAAGTAGCAGAAGAAAGCTCGCACTATTGTTTTAATCTAATGTCATCTTAGCATGATTGATATAACTATAAAAGATGCTATGCTGCAAAATGTTTTGGGGGATTCCTGGAATAATTTCCATAAAGTGATAAGTATATTTTTACTTCCAGTTTTATTTCAATACCAAATACTCTGTTGTTGGATATTCAGCATATGCAGAAAAGAGAGAAAATCTGAATAAAACTGTTCATGCCAGTTTGGAAAATGGCTTTCAACTGCCAGTCCATCTCCTTACAACATAATATGGGCTGTGATATCTGTGTTTCTGTAAAATCGGGAAAAACATTAGTTTTCATTAGGAAAACATAATTTTCCTTACTATTCTCCCATGTTTTCTCTCAGAATGATTCCCACAACTTCCCACATGCAAATAACCCATAATGATGGATTCTTCTACTCAAGCCTTCTCTTCTCAAAGGCTTTTCTTTTGGTTTTAGGGGACTTGCAAAAAGAGACATACCAATATATACATATATTTCATTTTCTGTGGAAAAAAAAAACCCAAACTGATAGCTCATAATTCACTCTTAACAGTCCAAATCATGTAATAGAAGCAGCAAAGTATTCAGGCAGTTGGACTATATGATTGTTGTAAATCCCTTCCAACCAAACTATTCTATTCTATTCTATTCTATTCTATTCTATTCTATTCTATTCTATTCTATTCTATTCTATTCTATTCTATCCTATCCTATCCTATCCTATCCTATCCTATCCTATCCTATCCTATCCTATTCCATTCTATTCCATCCTATTCCATTCTATTTCTATTCTATTCTTCCATTCCATTCCATTCCATTCCATTCCATTCCATTCCATTCCATTCCATTCCATTCCATTCCATTCCATTCCAAAGAAAAAGACACAGTGTTAAGTGATTTACTTACCCGTGCAAATTACACACATAATGACAGAATGGAGTGACCTGCATGTATAGTATTGCGGGATACATCAGTTCCCAGTAGTGAAATTGTTAAAGGTTAGCAAGCACTGAGTCAATGCGGTGCTAGGGAATGAAAAATATGCCTGTTTCTGGGCTTTTGAAAGGAAAATAAAATTGCAAACTTTCCTGTTTTGCTAGTATGGAATTTGCATTTTGAGATGTGTGATAATACGATCCCATTTTGGTTTATTACAGATAATTTTATTTCTTCTCTCTACTTCATTTTGCATATATCAGGGTGCAGACATCAATCCTACCTTCCAAGGAAGAATGCTATATAAAAGGTAGAGCTGTTCAGATTGACAAACTGAAACAGAAACATTTTCAGAGTGAAGCTGTTCTCCCACTCGGATTCGGTACGAGGCTGCTCTGTGAAGAAAGACAGCACAGTTTCAGAGGTTTAATCAGATTAACAATTTCCCTTGGCACAAAGGCTGCACGCACCTATCAGAGCTGGCAATGTATTTGTAAATTAGCCTGCTGATTTCAAAATATAAGCTGACAGAAGAAATTGTATCCAAAAAGCAAAACACAGCAAGTGAGCTTGTAAAGACTTAGAAATCTATTTTGATATCTGGGTATGTATATTCCTAGGAGACTGTAAGAAAGCGGTTGAGATAATGTGTATATTAAACATGTCTCCTGGATTCCTGTGTGCTTTACAGGCTCAGGCTCTTCTCTTGTTTCCTTTTCTACAACCTACCATAATTACATTGCCAGAAGGCACCCCACTACAAGCTATGTAAGTGACATTTTGTGTTAGTCACACTGAACTGGAGCAAATCCTCCTTGTAATTCTGTTTCATGGATTTGCCCACCATGCCAGCACCTCAGGACTCTACACAGCTATCAGTGGAGTGCCACTGCATGACTCCCTTTCCTTGTCCCAGGGAACTCCTCACAGAAGACTGAGAAAAAATATTTTGCAATGGATGGGGTAAGACAAATGGGAAAGGGGAACACATATTCTTCCCTTTGGGTAGGCCCTAAATTTCCATCTAAAGAGCTATCAAGACAAAAGTTAACAAAACAACTACTATGCCAATAAACCTCTACCATGTCCTGGACCTACTTTCCAGTTGGCAGGAGCTTGTTGTTAGTCAACTGCTGCTGCGAACAGGAGTAAACAAAGAAGTGGAGGTACTAATGGTGATTCTGAGTATCATAATGGTAGTACTTGTATACAACTTCCAAAGGAACCTCCAGTAAACTACTAGAAGTACAGAAACAACAATGATAAACTGGATTCTCTTTAATTAGAGCTGCCCTATCCATGAGGAAATTTCAAACAGATGCATCAACAAAACCATAAAACAGGCCATAAATTAACAACTGTGTTAATGATTTAGAAATGCCTGTCAAGAAACACAAGTTTGTGTGTATGCTGGTAAATACATATTTAGCTAAGCAGAAAGAAATAAAGCATTGTGGATTTTTGATGCCAGTCTGAAGTCAGAAGCCTTGACTTTATCAAGGCTGCTAGAGCTGAAGCTTTACTCATATGCCCGTCAGAGACAATGTCAATGCTCTGGTAGAGCATGGACGTGAGCTCTGAGAAAGGTTGTGTAAAGGCTGAAGAAGGACATCCTGAATGTATCTTTGCTGCCAATCCCACTCTGAGCTTATTACACTGATAAAGATCATTCAAACCAAATCAGCTACTGAGGTCATCAGAGCAAAAACCACAAAACAGTCTGAGCACGGTCAGAACAACTTGACCCAATGAGTTTTCATATAAGTGCTTTCTGTACAGGCTACAGGACGCAGACCTACATTAATGATAACCTGGCAAAAAGCAATCAAGCTTCAAGGTCTCTAGACCATATCTTACTGTCCCCAAGGTGTCAGAGGGAGTAAAAGGGCATAGCCTGTGCAAATCACATATTTAGGTCCTACTTCTCAACTGTAACTAGCAGGTGTCTTCTCCATGGATACAGGAGGGCAAAAACATTTTAAATTTACAGCATACAAATGAGGACTCTCAGTCTAATAAGAAACAACAGAATAAAATGCTATCTTACACAGATATGCTTTGAACATATCACCTATGACTTCCCAGATGTAGAAAAGCGCTGACACTAGTTAAAATCAGCTGTGGGTTTCCTCTGAGCAGACACCACAATCTGTCTGCCTGGTCCAAAACACCTTACTGAACATCATCAGTGTACGCAGGTATCCAGAAGCTCAAAATAATCTCCTCCAACCACTTCTACATATGCCATAATATGGTTCGCTTAATAGGCTTTCAGCAGCAGTCTCATTTCAGGCTTCTTACAGCTACGGAGCCCTTGCCAATTGCCACCAACTACTGCAATCTTCCAGCACTATCAGGATCTCCAGAGACTCTGCCTGAGACATGGATATATGATAGCCTATTGCTACCCCAGTGAGAGTACATGCTGTCCTCAGAAAACATGTTCTTACTCTAGCATAAAGGCCAGCTTTACGGGTGAGCTGAAAAGATTACTGAAACTTGGAACACCATTAGACTTTAGGTGTTGGTAGAGTTGATGAGTCACCTAGTTACTTTCCCTCCAAATTACTGCCCCTATTAAAGGTGTATGTTTGACAATCAATAAACATGTTAGTTTCAAGCTATAAATTTGTCTTCCAGAAGTGATTCCTCCATTTCCAGGTCTTCACAAAACCTGGTGGTTGTGAGTGCTGAGTCACTGAAAACCCATGCCTTTTCCCCCAAGGTAATGGTGTGTTTAAGTTCTTACAAGGTAAGGAGGCTGGAACAAGAACCAGTGATGGCAGGTGGGTGACTGTTATCACCACTGATTGAATGGCACTATAGCTTAGTTTATAGACTCCTTTATTATAAACTTATGAAAAAAATTAATTCCTATAGATTGTAAATTAATCAGGATTTTTCATATTTATACAGACAGTTTGAATGCTATCACAGTATAGGAACCAAAAAATCAGTACAATTTAATCAGTACAAATCAATTTTGTATTTAACATTGCTTACCTAAATTTGTCAGGAAAAGAGCAACCTTTTCATAGAGCTGTAAGAGAAGGAAACAGCCTCTTAGGTATGTGACTATCTCAAAAATACAGAGCTGCTTTCTAGGTAGAGTAGCTGCTTTTACATGTTAAATCTGACTTCTAGATGGCCTCTCTGACGTTCTAATAATGAAGGTAATAAAACTATATAGTAATAATAAAATAATGATATAGTCAAACAAGAAACAGTAATGTTTTTCAAAGCTTATACTCAGCTCTTTTCATCTACAATATATATAGAAAAAAAATGCTGTCACTCTCCCTATTTTACATACACAGTGAAAAACAGTGATATAACTTTTCCAAAAATACAAAGCAAAACAACAGCACAACTAGGATTTTTATTTTAGTTACTTATGGAACATTTATCACACACACAAAAAAATCACCCTAGTAAGCGCATGCTCTGGTATGTTGGGTATTTGGGGCTTTTTGTTTTTTAGGGGGGGGATATTTTTGGTGCTGAAATGAAAGACACTGGGGAGACAGGGTTGCTTCAGAGAAAGTCTTTAGCAATCCCCTCCACCAGAAACATTTCTTACTCTGAGTCTGTGACATTGTCCTAAATGGGACTTTCTGCACTTAGCAGATATCATGCTCTCAAACTCTCCGGGAGATTGTTAACTTCATAAAGCTTACAAAAACAAACTTGGGAGGGTTTCACAATTAGTATTTGCAAAGGGGTTTTGAACCTATAAAGTACATCACCACCAACATCAGTATTACTGTAAACTAATACAACAATTTCCATTTGCTTTAAATGAGTCTGGAGCTTGTTCCCACAGAATGCTAAATGTCCTTAACTCTCACTGATACCTACAGGGTTACAAAGCTTCTCATATTGCAGGCTCAAGTACTTATACCTAAAGTATATATCAGCATTGTTTCTTTTAATTCGCAGTTATCCTTATAAACTCTTGCTTAAATTGAGTTATGTAAAATTTACAGATCAAACTGCTTACTTAAGAACTGAACTCATCCTGAATTATCCATGTTAACAACCACTTCTTGCTTAGAATAGGTTCTTGCTGCCTTTGGAGTAAACAGTTTTGTTTCAAGTAATGAAAAAGGTGTTTTCTTCTAGGTTTAAAAGCAATGTTTAAGGGCAGCTGTAAAAGTGCTAAATGTCTGGGTGGTTTATATCCTGATCCTAGCAGGGAGTGTGCTATTTGACGAATGTACATTGCTCTGCGAAGTGGGTATCAAAACTGTATTTTGTTGCTATTCCTCTTGGAACAGTAAGACTTCATTAGAGATTCTGTTAACAATGGATCTAATTACCTGTTACTGCAGTTTATCACTACTAGTTCCAAGGGGCCTTGCTTAGGATCAAACTCTGTTCTGTGTTCATCTTTTCTATGGGTGATATCACTGGAATTAACAGGTTTTATTAACCCAGGTAAAGCTAATGGTTGTTCCCAGATCTGATTACAGGATTATCTGTGAGACATTATGCCTGAAGGTCATTTCATTTTGTCATGATGGATTTGTCAGTGTATGTACCTAGCTCTCAGAGCATCCAGTCTAGAAGTTACTTATGGTCCAGACCTTTTCCCTGATGTTTAGAGAGGTTGTCAACTCATATCAGAATCACTGGCAGTTTTCCAAGCTTCCTAGCATTGAATTCCCTCCTGTTATAGACATCTTGGTCCATTCTGGTTTTATTACTGTATCTTTGCTTGCTCTCCTGCTACTTTTCTTGAGTCAGAGTCTGGAGAAGATTCAACTACCTGAATTGTTCCTGGGGAATTTTTTTTTTTTCTACTCTGTCCCACTACTGTCCTTCAGTAAACTACATTAATCCATAATGGGAAGTGAGGGATTATGTTCTTAAGTCCTTCTTTTGAAAAGCTCATGCAGTTTCATATTTTGGGGATCTTTTGTTTCCATGAGCTATATCCAGATCTAAGGCTGTGGTGCTTATTGCATGGTAATGAGTATAAGGCTTAAATCCATCTTTGCAGTGCTCTACTTATTTGATGTATTTTAGGAAATAAAACAAAATTTCTCAGAAGGCACCTTCAAGCCATCTTCCATTATTTTAAAATTTTCTCTAAGCCATAAAACTCTTTGAGAACCAAATAATTTTGTTTGTGCAGTATTTCTTTCTTGCTGCTTCACTGAATATACAATGACTTATACACTGAGAGCTTGGAAATGGCTGTTGTACTGACATAGATGTATATAGTTTTCTTTTTATTTCTTCTATGATTATTGTGTGCTCTAGGTGGATTAAAGAAAACCCCCAAAAGCTGCAGAAAACAAACAATAAATAAAAAAATAACATAAAAGAAAAGAGCCCTCAGTACAAATTCAGAGAGAATAACAGCTTCTGACTCTTCTTTCTGACCTTTCTCAGCCTACAGTCCCACCTGAGGGAAAACATAGGAAAGTCAATAGTTCTTGACAGACTGTCCTAGTCACCAATCCAGTCTTGCCTGTGCCAAAGGGAGAAGCGAAGCCCTGCAGCAAAGCCACTTGGAATTTCCTGCTATATAAGCGAGGGGCTGTTAAAATTAATTTTTAGATGATGGAAATGCTTGGGTATTGCACAGGAAAGAAAGTAGTCTCCAAGCCAGCACTTAGAAATGTGCGGGCCTGAAATAACATCTCATACTTCCCCTAGGAAGTAAGTCAGCATATCTCCTGGAGCAAAGCCTAACATGTTTTTTGAAGAAGACACTTGCTACTGAGTGGGTAGAGACTCTGCCCTTGCTCCAGTATCTGGATAGTTTGTAGATTGATCTCACTTCCCCCCTTAAAATGCATTCTTATAATGTCAGTTGCCAAAAACCTGATAGTGAAAGGCCATACACCTCTTACCAGGAGCAACTAATAGAAGACACGTTGCTATCACAGCAATACACAGAAGTACCTGCATCTCAATGGAAGGATGAAACGAATTCCCCATCTAACTTATGCCATACTGTCTTACTGGGGCTGTTATCACATAGAAATTCCATTTTTGTCTTTGTCCCAAGTCTGTTTTCAAACCAGTTCACAACAATAACCTGACCTCAGCCAGCCCCGTGTCTCTGGTTTACCCTGGCAAAGCCCATAGGCAGCTCATGGAACAAGTCATGTCTGCTCAATCCTCATGAAGTTTTCAGCCCAAGGGAGTTCTGCATTATAGACATTGTGTCTGTATATGCATATCTATCCTGATTGGTAAACTACTGTGAAAACTGAAGCTGGAATTACTGAAACTAATACAAATAAGAATTAAGCACGGCCACTGTATTTAAAAAGTAACATCAAAACACTAATTAGAAAGAAGAATATTAATGAAATGGATTGAATCCTGCAAACATATGAAAGGAAAAACAGAGGCAGAGGATAAAACAGCAGCATGGACCTGTTTCCATAAAATGTTTTTTGGAACACTCAAACACACTTTTTTGTGTGTTTTTTAATGTTTTGGGTTTGGAATTGTACTTTACATAAATAGTGGATGATGTTCATAAACAATAATACCATGCCTGGCTTAGCAAGACACTCCATTCCTGTTGAAAAAGGAACTGAAAGCAGTCTGCAGACTGAGGCATCTGCTGATCTGATGGATCAGGTATAACTCTGAACATGTTAGTTTTACTCACCACATTCAGTAGCATGATGATGCAAAAGTTGATGCACACTGCAGTCCCTGTAGTTGCAACCTGAGAGTTATTCCTGATTAAAGCCCACTTAAAGGCAGCAAAAGTGCTGACAGTCACAACTCGGTAAATAACAATGCCAAAAACAGCAGCAATCACCACACAGATCTAAAGGAAAAAAAAAAATCAGAGACAAGAACCTGAAAACTTTCAGTAGGAGTTAACTCTGAAAACTAAAACAATGAAAGACTTGAAAAATACATCCATTTTGATTCCAGAGAAAGGTTTCAACATAAATATTCTTCTTATTGTGAAGTTCTTTTTATTTTTCATAATGCAAAATATCTTTGAAAACATATTAAAATAATTTTTAAGCATCTTCTTGAAAATGTACCTTTTCCTTAGCATTAATGTGGGAAACAGTGCTGCCAGCTCTGCGAATTAGAAATTTTCCTTACATGCATGTTCCACAATGTGCAAAAGCTAGTATCAAGCTGATGTCAAGCTTGATGGTGTCATATTTGGGATGAATTTTGTGCTTTGATGGACTTCACACTTACAGGAAAAAATGTCTCCATTTGTAAGCACTGCCTCAACAACAACCCTAGCAAGCTACCAGAGTAAGCTGTTTCTTGCTACAGTTCTGGAAAGATTTTATCTAGGAAAGGCAACAAATTCAATTGCCCTTGTAATTTCTACTCTGATGAGAGTTTCAGCAAATGTGACAGTTATAACATGAAAGCCATGTGTCTGAACCAGGCTGCTAAATCACTTGATATTCCATATGCAACAGTTGAGTACTACATGACAACTGTTTTCCATTGTGACAAGTTTATGTCACAGTTTAGCAAGCTGCCTAAAGGACAAACAGTTGGGAATTAGCATGGGTGACTCATCTCACAGAAACCCTGACACAGTACCGTTAGCCACCTTATTAGATAAAGAGAGACAGTTTTTTCAGGAGAAGACAGATGATTATTTGCAGAAGATAGGTGTCTTCCAAGTTTATCATAGACAATTTAAATCTATCAAAACTGAAGTATATCTAAGGTAATTGAATGTTCATCTCAATCATGCTCTTGCCTTTCTTGTCCAAGATTGCTTTGGACAAATTTGAAGCCATCAGTTTCTTACAAGCCCTCTGCCCTTTTCCCTCCCATCTGATTCAAACACAAAGTTGCTGGGCTGGCTCATCTACCTGGCTCTTCACAGCTCCTGAAGTTATACATGTATATAATTTTCTAGCCTCCTGGAACAGCCCTAGTAAATTCCATGAGAGTCTGAGTTTATGCCAGCGGTGTTTTCAAGACCAGTCCTACCACTGCTGTTGTCCTGTGAGTGAGTAATAACTTCAGTGAAGTTAGAGGATGCGGTCATTTCAGCAGAAATGCATGCAGCATTCTGTTGGAAGAGATTTTGTTGCTGCATTTAGTTTTGCATTTTGGAAGGGGGAGAGATGCCTCATTTTAGACAAGGAACATTGGTTTCTCCATTTCAATTGCACTAGGAATATGAACCCTATTTTCTTACCTCCTCAATGCGCTGAAAAACTAGAACATATTAACATCACTAAGCACCCTGTGTACCTTAGGTTCTCTGTAGAGTTTACTAAGAAAAACTGCCTCTTTCATGGCATCTCTCCCCATCGCTCTGAACTGTCTACACAGGGAAGGCAAGGAAATCGGTAAGTTAATTCAGTCAGCTGAAGTTGGTGTCTAAATGTGATAGCATCATTATTCCAGCACATGTGTCGCTACTTATAACATTATGTGTGTAGACTTGAAGGAAGGACTTAACTATCTGTGAGACTCAGTGAAGAGTAAACTAGTATAGGACTTTACAGTCAGGTGATTTGCTATGTACAGATTTTCAGCCTGCAGTGAATGTGCTAGAGTTTATTTAATTTTCAAGCAGTCGCGTCCAATATCTCCATTCTCTTTCAGCAGAGATAATGTTATTTTGTGTTTTTTCAACTTGTAAATAAATAAAAGTTCTCAAACCATAAAAAATATTCCAGATGCAGAAACAATGAGTCTGCTGCATTTATCTGCAAATGCTTGATAAGGCTCTGGCTTCCCGGATATGGGGTTCATTCGTTCTTTCTTGGAGTACTTTGCTTCAAACTGCGGACGTATTTCCTCCTAAAGAACAGACAGACAATGTTCACATATAGCATGGCTAGCAAAGATTCTGTAGGAAACTTCAGATCATTTATCACATCACTGTCATAGGGAATTACATCTTTGAACTCAGCAGCTGGCACAGCTACTATAAAAGCTGATCTGGGAAATCAGGTCTCCCTGATAAATCACTGTACCTATAAAACCATATTGGAAGTATTTACTAAAACTCCCCAATTAGCTACTCATCTAAACAATGCTCTTTTAAACTATATGGCTGTAAGCCAAATCATTGTGGTATTAAGGTTGATACCACAGAGTTTTCCAGACTAGTATTATCCTATTGATACTGCAATTCTACAACAAAACAAAACAAAATTCAAACTACTTTTTCCAAACCTGATTGCTTTTTGCTAGGTAATTGGTTATCTTCCCATTATCAGCAAAAATTTCTTAGCATTTGAAGAAGGAGCCATGCTATCTAATATTGCTTAATTCATTCCTAACTTTGCCATAAAAACTCTCTTCCAAAAAGAAACCTGGAGATTTCTTGGGGAGAGACTTGGTTACAGGTGTTTACAGCCTGGTCAGAAGACAGGGCTCACCCTTAGTTGAGGTAAGACCTCACAGTTTTCAGCTGCAGTAGGGCTACCCCACTGCCCTGCTGCCCAGGAGCTTCACTAACAGCCGTGTGTCCTGTGCCACCTCACCCAAGTCTGACATTGGGGATGCTGTGAGAGATGAGAGGAAGCACCAGGGTGTGAAGACAGACTCTCACAGCGGCTGGCAGTCCATATACATTAGATCAAGTTTTACAATGCTCTGATGAATACTGGAGAACTGGCCCATGGTACAGCTCACAGCAAGGGAGCACAGAGGCAGCTGTGGACTGGTTTTGCAGCTTTTCCACCAGACCTCTGCTGTGCATTTCTTTGTAACAGCCAAGAACCCAGCTTAACAATTTGACTTCTAACCTTTCAACTGTATTTAATTGAACTTTGACCAAACGAATGTTGTAAATGCCCAGACCTTAAATGTCTGCAATGAAATAGGTGAATGTTAACTGCTCATACAAGTCTTTAGAATGTGAATAAAGATATCCTAAAATCATGCATCCTTTTTATAAAATTCTCCCGGGGGAAAAAAAAAGTTTTGTCTCATTCTCATTCTCTCAAATTTTGAAGGCACTTTCTCAATACAGTTAATTTCTAAACTCAAGTAGCAACCTGGTAACATGATATTAAAAAAAAGTTGAGGCATGTATTCTCAGCTGCAATGCCTGTTTAACTAATTACGTGCTTGAGGGAACCAGGCCTATATTAGCTATATACAAAGTCTAAGCATGTTTCTGTGGAGGCAGGGTAACACCTTGCTCTTATTCTACCTTGCTCAAGCTGTTCCTGCCATATCAGGGCTGAAGGCTGCTGAGCAGACCATAATTTAGCAAGAGAAACAATGCAAGTAGTATTCCGGTGTGCCCAGGGACGTGCAAGGCACAGAGTGATAGCATTGAAACAAGGTGCTTGAGAACCTATAGACTGTGCAAGGGCTCTGCCAGCTGACTTACAGTCATGTACAAGAAACCCTTTGATTATCTTTTACAATCTGCACTATAGGGAAGTCTTTACCATCTCCACTTTTCCATGAACCTAGCTATCACTTATAATCTCCAGTCAATTCAGATAAAGCAAATGCTATTTTTATAGATACAGCTCCACACAAAACTGAACCTCTGGCATGAACCTTTATATCTGTTTAATGACACTCAGCAATGCTGAGCACAGGTTGGAGCAGGAAGTGAACAGTACTGTATCTGGCTGAGGTTAATGATATAAAGAAAGTGACACTGAAGAAAAATAAAAGTATGCTGTAGATAGAAACAGAAGCCATATTTCAGCTTGGAGTGCCAGGAACTGTGCAGTTGGCTTCTTGTTGCACACCCATCCAAGACCCAATTACTTTTCATGTCTCCCAGCTTGCACTTCATTTCCAAGAAGAGGAAATCAAGATATGCGGGTTGAAAGAGCATTCAGCCCTGGGACCCATGTGCCCAGGCTGGGGGACCTGAACACTGTTGGGGCTGTTGCATGCCTTCATTGGGTGAAAATCTAAAGTGGTGAGGATTTCACAAAGTTGCGTCTCTGAACAAATTTAATTCTCCTTCCCATTGTCTTCATTGTTTAATTTCTTTGTCACTTCATTTAGAGCAGAAATGTGATAATGAAGTGATAAGCCTTATAAATGTGGGGATTTTTTCAGTCTATTCTTGGTAGAATTGATAAATTTCCCTCTGTAGCAAAACCTTATTTTTCAATCTGACAATGAAAATTAAAGCTAGACATGGCAGATAATGTCAATAAATTAACAATCTTCATTTACAAAAGCTTGTGACCTAAAATGGTAATTAGAACTCCTTAATTGATTTCTTTGAAATAGGTAATAAAAGAAATTGGCTGATTTTGCCCAGTGATAACTGAATGGAATGTAGAGAGGAAATTTAATTAGCAATGGTGTTATTAGAAAGCAGCACTTTTGGGAGTAAAATTTTTACTTTATGGAGACAAAATTCTCACTGACATGTACATCTTCATGATCAAACTCCACAGGATGTGTCTTTTTCAATCTACATAAACCAGACCATTCTCCTTCCTTCTTTCTTCGCATACATGGATCATTTAAATTCTTTACTCACAGAAGAAACCATACTGATTTCTGGAGTATCAAATATGGATTAATGTACACTGCCTTAGGCCAGATCTTTGTGCAGTGCCTTAGACCAGATCCTTCTGTATTAGAAGAGCTACTCTAAATGTCTTTGTGAAATACATCCTTTTCTTTCAGGAGGTTTCTGAGTCCTTCAACAGGTGAATCCTTGCAGGAGTCCTATTCTTCCTGCTTCAGTGATATATTGTCCTATATAGTCCAGATGTAGAAAATCTATTTGTGAAAGACTGAAAATCTGAATCTTGATCACTGGGACAATGATAGCACCTCCAGAAGTAAGTCTCCTTGCAAAGCCTGTGGCTTGCAGGTCAACCTGCTTGCAGCAGAAGGCAATGGAAAGTGAAGAGGTGGACTTCAAATCACAGAACATGGAAATTATCTCAACACTTTTTCACCTGGGACACCTTCTTTCAAACTGTGACTGTCTTGGGGGCAAAGTCCTGAAGAAACCCCAGTGCCAATGGAGGTGCAGCATTCCATACTTAAGAAGAGGAGGAAATGGCCTGTAGAGCTGACCTTAAAGCAAGAACATACCTGAGTTGTGTAGTAGGTATGGCCATTGGCAGCTGTAACATCTTCAGGGAAGACACCTCTGGGAGGCAATCAGGTCCCACTCTTGGAATCTCACTGAATGCTGAACAAAGGGGGAACTGACGCCTCAAATGACAATGAGATACTGATGCTGTGATGACTGGTCACATAAATCTTTGAGAAGCAGCCAGTTAAGTTCCTGTTGGCATCTTTAACCTCTAATTTGAGAGAAAAAGGTACCATCTGGCACACTGCTTCTGAAGAGGCTGTTATTGCCTGCTGCAGAGACATAAAACTCCCTCTAGAATTGTAAGAAGGTTCAATGAATAGCTCTGGAGCAGGCACACTCACCACTGCCCCAGGGCACCTGACTGAGGATTGTTGGCAGTGCTCATTGGAAAAAGCCTGGTGTAAGAATAAAAGACCAGCTGACCATCAGCAGGGAGCAGGTATCCTCTGAAAATTGTCGACATGCATATGTCATCCTGCAGGCCAAACTGAAATAATCTACCAATGGAACATAAGCATCTCTTATAAAAAATAATATTATTTAATCGACATCATAAAACAAACACACCATATTTCTATGAGCATAGTTTCAACTACCAGAAGCTCTTTCAGGCTGACTGGAAGAGGAAAAATCTAGCAACTCTACTCTCTTTTGTCTTTTCAGGGCTTATTCCAGATAAAGGCTTAGTTGCATAGGCATTGTAATGATCTTCCAAAAAAGCTTAGAAAGCAGAGAGTGCATCTTCCACAGGAATGCTTTCGTCCAGGCTCTGCAAGAGGACATGCACTTTCAGTAGTAGGAGCAAGGATATAAGTGGAGTTTGGGCATGTTCATGAGAGGAAGGAAACAGGATGGGGATTTGTCCTGAATTGGTTTGGAGCTGTTGTGCTCACACCTGAGCAAAAGACTCCTCCAAGCATTACCAAAGCAGCCAGAAATCACTTTGTATTATTACATGGAAGTAAAAAAAAAAAAAAAAAAATATATATATATAAATCATCATAATCCCAAATCCAGGTAAGTTAAATGGTGAAAGGTGCAGATATATAACATCCTGAACTATAAACACCTGCAAGACCAGTCCTCCTGGGAAAAACATAAAAAGAGTCTCATACTGTACTTGCTTGTGTATTTTGTTAAAGGCTCCTTCTTATCCTGGGGACACTGAGCTATCCTGAATTGGAAACTGAAATTTGGTACATCTGCCTTTTTCTTTAGCTGTCAGCAGCAGTAGTGGCATTTTTGCAACTAGCCATGAAGGGACATGATCACTGCAGGTCAATCCTGACCAATATTTGAACTTCAGGCAGCACTCAGTGTGGTCTCTCTGTGACTTGTCAGCATTGGCAAGAGCAGGCTGCTAATCTCAGGAGAGTTAAATCAGCATTAGAGTATTTTCTAAATATGTGACAACAGTCCTGAAGTATCACCAAGAACTGACAGCATATGTGCACAATTAATGATGTTCAGTTGCTATAAAGAAATCAATTTCCAGTTGTGTAAATTATTCTGGTTTATGTTCTTGGATTATTTTCTTAGTCATTAAGCATATACAAAAAGAAATCCTACCAGCAAATGAGCAATTGTACCATTTCATGGCCTCATTGAACTACATTGCCTCGCAGATACAAAAATCCGGTAACTCAGAAGTCTGTTTCTCTGCTGGCAAGATTAATGAAAAAGAAATTCTTCCACAGAGGCAGCAATATAGAAATTCAGCTGCACTGAGACCACCACAACAGGCTCTTACAGTCCCTCCACGAGTTTCGGGACAGTCTTTGGACAGTAAGGAGAGCAGACTCTGTGGACACCTGTATGTCCAAATCCCACTCGAACAGCATTTTTTCTGCCGCACCCACCAAATCTTACTTTTCTCCTGCATTACAAAACCTTGTTCCACTTAGATCTCAGCTCTCAGTCCCAAAAGCATGCTGCTTCTTTCTGGTAACCACCACAGACTAATGTTAAGGCTATTTTTTGATGTGCAGTTTCCTCCCTAATGGGATTTTCTCTACCAACAGAGGATGAATTAAGTCCTTTTTGTTCGTTCATCTCCCTCAGACTCTCTGCAGCACTGTATACTTAGGTAACCAGCACCTGAACGTTTAAAAGCTGGTACAAGCCTTACAAGGTTTTCTCTCCATCAATATTAATGTCTATCTAAAAGAATAGATAAAAGCTCATTTACCAAAATTCATGGTATCCTGAGCTGTCAAGAATTTCCTTGGATTCAAAAGCAAAATGTTTGTTTTCCCCAAAGTGCATTCTTTTCCTGAAATCTCCAACAATGACAGCCACTGATACGTTGAAATTAATTTAGATTTACAAAGGTGTAAAAAGAGAGGACAGTTTGGCCTGGGGAAAGATTTTTCACCTTCTAGAGAAAACATCTGAGGAGAAAAATGCTTATTTCATAGTTTATGAAGATTTGAAGAATGAACTGAGAATAAATTCAAAAAACCCCCATGCTTACATTTTTAACCAGATATTTTTCTATTAAAGATCAAGGAACACATTTTTTTTATACAAACCTCTTCTTCTTCCCAGTCTATCAAGTCCCAGTCATAAGCAATTACTGCTCGCCTTCTTTTCCAAAACTCCAGAAAAACAGTTGCTGAAGCAAATAGAAAAAAAAATGCAAAATTTTTTTTAAGTCAAGAAGATGTTAACGACTATCACAGAACTGTTGAATGAAGCTGTTACATTATTTTCATTGCTTTGCATAAATGGGTTCCTTTGAACAGCAGATCATGCTGATGATCAAAACTGCTTTCAAAAGGCATTTATTTCTAAGGATTACTTTGCTTCAAGTATGATTGAGGCTTTAGCGATTTCATTTAGTGCTAAATGAGAATGTTTAATTTCTAACCAACCAAGGGAGGACTCAAAAAATTAAATTGTTTCTGTGAGTCTCCATTACTAGATATAGCAGGATTCTGATGAAGCTAAGTGTTTCTTGGGGCTATTGTAGATAAAGCAGTAACTTTCCTTCTTGGAAGACCATTTACAATACACAGAAACCAGAGCCCAGAGGAAGCACATTCCAGTGCACGTGTAAATCTGTAGAGTGATACTGAGGATGGGAACTTTTGTCTTACACCTTTCTAATCCAGACCATTTCTCTTACACTACATGAGTGTGGTATGGCATTAGCATCTGACAATTAAACATTCTGTGCTGTACAGCCCTTATTGACAGAGTTCAAGGTAGTGTTATATGCCTGTACATGACTGTGCCTCCATTTTGTGATGGAAATAACAATCAAGGAAGCACTCAGTCATAAAATAATATATTTATATTCCGGAGATTAATACTGAACCTGTTTATGGTTACAGGTTTTTCTTTTTTTTTCTTTTTTTTTTTTTTTTTTTGTTAAAGGAATGTAGAGGCTGCCTAAAGCTAACACAAATCAATGGAAAGTCTTCCTCTCTCACTGTGAGGTTTGGCTCTTCCCTTTATTGCTCACTGAAAAGCACCAGGCTGATAACCACAGAGAACATAATCCTCTTTGTTCATGAGCTAGCACAGTATCAGCTGTAATAGCACCACAATAGCCTGGCAATATGTTCCACATCCAGACCTAAAAGCATCTCTTTAATGGACTATCTGCCCTACTGCAGCATACTGATAATGATGTGACATGATACTATGCACTGGCATCAGTTTGGTGAAAGTGAATTTTTAGCCAGTAAGAATTATTATATTTTAATGTATTAGCCAATGCAGCTAAAATATGCTTGGAAAATGAACACTGTGAGCCGGTAAGGTGAGATATCAAAAGCATGTTTAAGGAGGCAGCTATTTGGTTTGAAGGCATTTTCACATATCATGTCATCATTTTTCTGAAAACTGGAGTTATGTTATTCCAGGTAACCAGCTGCTTTGATTTAATCAAATAAAAAAAGCCAATTCAATCTCCTGAGTTTAATGTTTCTATGACTTTTTGTAATAATTGCAGTATGATTGGTTGGGATCAGCAAAACCAGTAAGTGCTAATGAGGCTCTGTTGCTGCTGAACCACCATATTGTTCATTCCTTGACTTGTCTTCTGGTGAAGCTGCTTTTCTCCTATCAGCTCATAATGAATTCTTTTGTACAGGCTAAACAAGTAACCCTGAACTTTTTGGAGATCTGGGAGAAACAAGCCTGATTGATTACTACCACTCTGTTTCCATTCCAAAAAGCAACTGGGAGCATGACCTGGGTGGGTGTATGGGTCTGCAGGCATGAGCATCTCAGATATGTCTGTGCTGAACTGTACTTCTTTAGTGTCTTGTTTTTCACACACCTGGAGTGACAAATCTATACATATTATATTTAGTATATTTAGCACCTGTCAGAGTATGTGCAGTTCCTGAAGCTTCTTTAGAAAGCTATTTTCAAATCATTAAGTAGCAAATAGGATGATCTGCACAGTGCTGTTCTAGCTTTTACTGTGCTATACTTTTTTCCCTCTATCCAGGTCAGTATGCACTTTTCCCTTGTTAGATGTTTTAAAACGTGTTATAAATAACCATCTTTGATTCATTGTACTACTGAGGTCTTCTAGAAAGTACTGCCTTTTGAAATTTCTCTGCTTCTGTTCTAGTCAAGTAATTCACTAATACCCTATATCACACTTCAGCATTCTTTTCTGACTTTGACAGCTCAACAGGACATGGTTTTACTTGTCGTTCTCCCATTTTCCAATCGGTATGTTTAAACCAGATGCTGCCAATTCTCCAAAAATCCCACTTGAAATTTTGAATTTCCCATTGGCCTTAACTTCCAGGTCTTTTGCCAGCTTTTTCTATACTATGCTTGTCCTGCTTCAGAGTTCAGCCCTGCAGCTCAGTCCTCAACATCCACTTGTACAAACAGCTGTCTTAACGTCATTTCCTCAGATGCTTTTGAAACAACTTGTGATCTTATCTAGTAATGCCAATGGCCTCTCACAGCAAATAGCTTAATTCTGACCTTCTCCCAGAAATCCTCTCCCTATTGTATTTCAGAACACCATTTAATATATTTATCATGCAGCAGATCCTCCTGGAAACTATGCTAAAGCACATGGAAAATAAGGAGGTGATTGGTGACAGTCAACATGGCTTCATTAAGGGAGAATTGTGCCTGACAAATTTGTCAGCCTTCTACAATGGGGTTATAGTGTTGGTAGATAAGAGAAGAGCAACTGACATCATCTACCTGGACTTGTGCAAAGCTTTTGACACTGTCCTGCATGACATCCTTGTCTCTAAATTGGAGAGACATGGATTTGATGGATGGACCACTCGGTGGATAAGGAATTGGCTGGATGGTTGCACTCAAAGAGTTGTGGTCATTGGCTTGATGTCCAGGTGGAGAGTGGTGACAAGTGGTGTTCTTCAGGGTTCAGTATTGGGACTGGTGTTATTTAACATCTTTGCTGATAACATGGACAGTGGAATTGAGTACACCATCAGCAAGTTTTCCAATGACACCAAGATGTGTGGTGCGGTTAACGTGCTGGAGGGAAGGGATGCCATCCAGAGGGTTGAGAGGTGGACTCATGCAAACCTCATGAAGTTCAACAAGGCCAAATGCAAAGGCCTGCACACAGGTCGGGGCAGTCCCAAGCACAAATACAGTCTGGACAGTGAGTGGGCTGCGAACAGCCCTGTGGAGGAGGACTTTGGAGTGTTGGTTGACGAGAAGCTCAACACGACCTGGCAATGTGTGTTTGCAGCCCAGAAAGCCAACCATATCCTTGGATGAATCAAGAGAAACATGACCAGCAGGTCGAAGAAAGTTGTCCCCCCTATTCTGCTCTTGTGAGACCCCACTGACAGTACTGAGTTCAGCTCTGGGGCCCTCAACATAAGAAGGACATGGGCCTGCTCAAGAGGGTCCAGAGAAGGCCACCAAGATGATCAGTGGGCTGGAGCATCTCCCTTATGAGGACTTCAGGCAGAATTTATAGCAGCCTTCCAGTACTTAAAGGGGGACTACAGGAAAGATGAGGAGGGATGCTTTGTCAGAGAGTATAGTGAAAGGACAAGGGGTAATGGTTTTAAACTGAAAGAGTAGATTTAGATTAGGTATAAGGAAGAAATTCTTTCCTGCGAGGGTAGTGAGACACTGGCACAGGTTGCCCAGAGAAGCTGTGGCTGCCCCCTCCCTGGAAGTGTCCAAAGCCAGGCTGGACGGGGCTTTGAGCAACCCGGTCTACTGAAAGGTGTCCCTACCCATGGCGGGAGGGTTGGAACTAGATGATCTTTAAGGTCCCTTCCACCCCAAATCATTTTATGGATTGGTTCTATGCTATGATTCTGTGATCCTATCTTCTGGAATGTATGCTACATACCAGGAATATTGCTGAAGAACCTCCTTAAATTCTGTCTCCTCAGAGCAGATCGATATGAATGTTTTATGCTAGAGGCAAGGCTTGTAGGAAAGCAATATCTTTTATTAGACTAACTTATATATTTAGAAAAAATGTTTTATGTTGACATTTGTTACTGCTTGAAAAAAGTGTTAAATTTTTCACGCTAGGCCTTTTTTCCCGTCCCAACTTTGCCTTTCAGCAAGTGTTCTAAAGCTACTTCCATTATCAAAGGAAATATGCTTCTACATAGACAAGAAGAAATTTCAAAAAGGACTTTTCTTGTGTCTCTTAGTCCCTCGAAGATATGCAGAGACAAGAGAAACTACCATCAGCCCACCTTGAGACTAGCAAAGCTTTAGAAATTATAAACAGCTGGACTCTCCTGTTGGACAGTTACAGGATTTTGCTACATAGCTCCAGGAAACATCTAGACAGTGATATCTTTGCACTAGCATTCCCCAGTACTTCAGTGGAAAAAGCAAAAGCTACAAATCCATCCGGCTTTACAGCAACATGCTGGAAGTCAACTGAACATCAAATTTACCTAGATTTTTTTTTGTGAGAATGACTTTTTTCTGCATGTTAAATATCAACATTTATTTAGAAGGAACATCTTTCTCTCATTTTCTGTCTTTGGTAAGAATCCAATTCAGACAATGAAAAGAGAGGCATTTTTCCTAGACATGGGACCTACCTTTTCAATGAGCTTGAAATATCTCAAGGCATGCATAAAGGGCAAAGTGTAGGTGTTTCTCTCTAGCAGAGAAACACAAAACCTGCTATTGCTAGCCTCTTTTTGAAAGCTTTGAACATCTGGAAAATATTGTCAATACTAGAGATCCTCGAAAGGAAAAACTATTTTCCAGCTTCTAGGATCATGACATCTCAGTGAGCATCAATTTCAATCTCTTCACCAATAAAACAAGGTATTAGTATTTATATGGACTCACTATTTCCTATAAAACATGAAAATTCATAGCTTCAATCCTTTTGAAAGGGTTTTTCCTTTCAACAGAAGCTCCAATATAGAAAAGCCTATACAAACTACCAGTGAATTCCTTTAGCGTACCGAAGGAAGACTATCTTTTTTTCCTTTGATACATCAATTTAAAATGAAAGTTTCCTTAAGTCTTATGGATTTTGGGTATACCTCAATAAGTATCATATTTTTTCCCTATTGTATAAGTTACTTTTACTTCTTATGTAGAACTTTGCTCAAACTGGGCAGAAATACAGTAAGTGAGATTATGGGTCAATATATTTTTTGAAGAAAAGTATGTTTCTGTTCCAGTATCTCCTGATGCACTTGATAATTCCAACCTTACTTTGATGGGACCCAGTTATCCCACAGTGAAGCATTATAAAAGATGATACCCTGTGCTTCGGAGTCCTACAGCCAGGCTCATTGCTGCTCTACAAATCAAGCAGCCCATACTGATATTTGTTGACATAATTCTGTTCACTAGCCTGGTCACTGCAGTTTGCTCATCATTTGGAGAAGCGTTTTATTTCTATTTAAAAAGTGAGCAACTGACTTTGCTCATCAATTAAAGATGTCTTTAGAGTAAAAGGAGGAAATGACCATACAGATCACCTCTTCATGGAAAGCCCAACCTGACCACACCTGGTTTTGAAAACCCTAAGCAAATGGTTGAGGCTTCTCCCTCAAGATGGGAGTTCACTACTGGATCCAAAGACAGTGAAGAAGGTACTTTAGATAATGTCAATGGCTAAGCTCAGGCTAAAGATGTAATAGAATTCTAGATGCCTTTTTTGGTTTTCACTCTCTTTTCTTAAAAGCACCACCATCATTATTTTATATGCTAGTGTCTGTCAAACTGAATCATCTAGAAGGCTGAACTTTTCACAGCCAATTTGTCCTGCACTTGCCAGTTGTTTCATGATGACAGAAGAAACATTTCCACAATCAAACTGCTATCATTGTTTCTTCTCTTCCCTCACAATTTACTGAGATGATGGCAATGCCTGCAGCTGCCAACAGACCTACTGCAGACTGAAAATCCATTTAAGACAGGCAGCAAGCCAACTCATAAATACAGTACCAGAAAATCCCTGGGAAGGGTGCCTTTCCTTGTTCTAATGTTGCTTTAGCCCTGACTGTATGGAAAATATCTCTACAATCTCACTGTTGTCTATGCAAAGTCTTATTTAATAAACTACAGTTTGGGTGAAGCCATAGGATTGCCCCATTCCTCAAACCACTACCCTACACCCACAGTGTCTTTCCTGTTGCTGCCCCTACATCCCTCTTGGTGGCAAGCTCACAAGTACAGTGTAAGCCAACAGAAGTGCTGGGAAAAGGTCTCACCCCGGTCACTGTCCTATATTCTCTTCTCCACTAGCCAAATCATCGTGAGGGTGGCATTTATCATGTTTTTTTCTTATCTTTCTGCAGACTTAGGTGATGGAGATGCACGGATGGGCAGTGAATTTCCCAGTCCTGGCAGGCTGGTGGGGAGATATGCCCAGAGGGAATTGGGTCTGGAAGTCTGACAGTGATGCTGAAGGAAGGGAAGGAAGGAGAGGCTAAACAAAGTGAGGTGTAGCTCCCGTCAGCTAGGGACAGGAAAGAGAGAGGATGTACAACATTTTGCAGGCAGGCATGCTCAGCCTGCTCAGTCTTCTCCCAGGCAGCAACCATGAGGCTGGACCAGGCATGGTTACCTGAGTGAAGAACTCTCCTTACCTATGGCTGCTTTTCTTACAGTCCTGGTGCAATGCTGTGAGCATAGCTGTTTCCTGAAAGCAGTGTTACTGTTAAGGAGGAACAAATGCACTTGTGCAAAAAGCTGCACTCCAAAGACATGCTCACCAGCAGTTAGAAACAGTGACATAAATGTTCAACAATGTTAAACCATCTATTTTCCTAGCTGAGATGAAGTCCCTGCCTCCAAACTGTCACGGAAATTCTCAACTTCAGTGAGCACATAGAGAAAGAGTTTGGAAAAGCTGAGTAAACATATAAAAAAATGTTTAATCCTTAGAAATTTTCAGTGATTTTCAGCTCTGGTGTAGTTCTAAAACAAAGCAGAAATACCAAAGAGAAACAAAATCTGCACGATCTGTGGATTTTTTCCTTAATGTAATTTGTGCTATTTCAATGCCATCAATATTATCTGAAATGGCATGAATATGCTTGACTGGTATATGACCCAGTTTAATTAGTTAACTAAGACAAAAATGTAGTTTTGGAGAAAGGAACTGAGTCAGACTGGTAGGCTAATCTATGTTGTCCTGATGGCTCTGATGTTGTGTCCTGGATACCTCCTGTGGATCAGTTAAGAGATTTGCAGTTTAAAATGGAGATTATAAGAATTACTTGGGCACCTTTCCAAAATATTTGGAGATGTGTGAGTAAGAACGGGAGAACAATGATTAAATCAGGATAGCTCAAGCAGCCGGGGCTGTGAGATGGATGCCATTTTTGAGGCACCTCATTGAGCCATTTTCTAAAGGTGTTAACCTTCCCTCAGAATGGCATTCTCAGCTAAGAGCCTGGGCATGCTCAAGGTATGTTTGAAAAATCTTTTGTGCTGCCAGAAATTATTGTTTCCTCTTGCCTTCAATTATGCCTACAAGACCACAGCAGGAAAAATATTTGAGCCAGAAATAGAACTGTCCTATGGGCAAAATTCAGCCTCCATGGCAACAGTTAGACCACTCTCGGATCAATTTGTCATTCAACTATATCTTCCATTTATTTAATCCCTTTTGCTTTAATTAAAACCAGATTACATGTATTTAAGTTTTACTGCCTTTCTGCAAGTTGGGAAAAACAATACATTAATTCATTTTAGTACAGACACTAAACTGAGCTGCCTTAGCTAAGAGAAACTGAACAGTAACAGAGAATACGCCTCAGTGCCAACAGATTGGAAAACAATTACAAAATCCCCCAGGATATAACTATCTACATAGATACTATATACTGCATTCGTGTTTTTATTTTAATTAAAATTATTACTACATAAACCCCTCATTTCAACCACTTCCTTCTTTTGCAGAAACAGAAAATAATCAAGCCTGTATTGTTCTTGTTAGTCTCTAAAAGAGGTGTGCTGAAAATTACAAGGCCTATGTTGAATCACAGTTTTTAAGAAAAAGACTGTGCAATTACTTAATATCAAACCAAAAACTTACCCCACACTGCCATGAAAACAGCAAAAAAGACAGTAGCTCCATTGTCAAAAAGGTGGGTTACCTGAGGAATATATTAATAGTGTGATCAATTTATGATAATAAGGCTTTATTTTCTGTTTTCATCTAATAAAATTAATGTGGTCATGAGTGCAGCTGACCTGACAATTGTGAAGATCCTTCCCTTGAAGTGTGAAATGCACATGTCAATTGAGGACTATTTGCCACCCCTGGCCTGGGGCTGACACCTGCTAACACCAGGTGTGAGCACCATTTCAGACCTAAAGCATTCATTTTATGGAGCCATGTACAAAGGATGGATCATAAGATAAAGTTTGATGCCAAGGACACCGTAACACATGCATCTAGGACATGACTTCTGGGACTGCTAAGTCTCTAAGTGCAAATTGCATTCAAGTGTTTTACAACCCAAACTGAGTCTTGGTAAAAGACAATGAATGTTAATATTGGCTGAACTTGATCTGTCCTTTCAAGATTTTATCTACCCAAGCTCACTAAAGCCAAATGCAAAAGTCAAAATTAATACTTTTACCAGGAAAGCATTTCTATTTGCATAGTTTAAAACATACCTTGGCATAAACGCAGCTGTCTGACAGCCTCATGAAGGGACAGTATTTATCACATATAGGACACATTATGATATCTGTAGCTTGGCAGACTTCTTTACTGAAAAACAGAAAAGATAAAAATTAAGTTTGATGCACAACAGTCTTAAAATGGATTGATAAGTTTCACCAATATTCAGTTACTTAGTGAACAAGACTGGTTCTGTAACTGAAGCCAAAGTGTTCATAACTGCATGTGTAAAATTAGTATTTGTTGACTAAGGCACAGGTGAGGATGATTGCAGATAAAGTTATGTTTGACTTATTCTTGTGACTTAAGTGTGCAAGAACATACAGATACAGCACTCAGCAGAAGGTCCAAGGGGTTCTTCATTTGAAGAATGCCTCTGTGTGGTGGATATCTGGGAAAGGCCTTGAAGAGAGTGAAAATTCCCCACACTTCTGCTGGCCTGTTAACACATCAGTGAAGGAGCTATACTTTTTCCCTACTTCATGCTGAGTTGCCAGCACCATCAGCAACTGAAGCTGGGCAAGAAACATTGCCTCCCATCCCAATTCAGGACCATAAAACAAGGGAAGTTTGATACCGGGTACCTTATGAGAACCAAACACAGTATTCTCCTGAGTATTCATTCCATAACTCAAAATGAAATAATTAACAATTCATGTGACGATCTCTTCAATTATTCATAATAACACACAGTTGTACTTTCCTTTATAAAAGTGCCCACATTACCTGACTTGGCAGTGGTTCAAAGTGGTGACTCCATACAAAAAGACAAACAATCCAATGAAGGCAGCTGGGAAGAGCATCCCTGTGTACCAGCCTAACCAGGCAAAGTACAGCCCAATTTTCTCACCAAAGTACCGTCTGTTTTAAAACACAAGACAGTGAAGTTACCTGCTAATCTGCTTAATCTTGCTTGTTAAAAGAAAATAAATATTTCTAATATATCTGAAGGGTAGATTAGAGAGCAGAGTCAGAATTTCCTGAAGAAAAAGTCTGCAAATAGGTTTCTAAATCCACACTGAGGGACCTGACTCATGGGTGAACTTAAAAATTTAATTTAAAAATTCACTAACGACATTTTACAGTGAGATGAGTCTATACCTCAGAAAGGAAACACCAAGTTAATTTAAAAAAGCTAGTTCTTTGTGTATGGGAAATTTATGGTTTGCTTTGCCTTTTGACCATGTAACTCTACTTTCCAAATAATTGCACTGAAATCAGTTTCACTCCTAAAACTGGTATAACAGCAAAAATCTGTTGGGCCTAAATTATTTCTAAGAAATTAACCAGAGGTTATTCCTCAATCCAGTTTATTTTCATTCTATTATTTATTTTCTTAGCTTAGTTGCTGGAAAACTAATCTCATGATTCTACCACAGGTGGAAAGTAAAGTGCAAGTGAGGCCCAACAAATAATTTTTCACTGACTTGAGGAAAGTCATCTGAATTAATCTTGTTAGTTACACTACTTAAAAACTAACAGCAAAGTGGCCAAGAAGTTCTTATTTTCTACATATTCATTAGTATTTTTCGTCCTCTCAAACACAACAAAACCTTTCTTTATGTGTTAAAGAATACATCAAGCACACAAAAAACCTGCTGAACCATCAGCACAGAAGCAGGCTCATGCATTGTCCTGTGTTTGATGGTCGTGTGCACAGTAGGCTGATGATCAGATTAAGATGCTTTACAAATCAATATGCAATTATTGTGCTTACAATGAGGATTTTAGGAGATTATTTGCAACATTAGCTCTAAAGAATGAGGCAAAATTATATTCTTGCACTTCAGAGACTTTGCAGACAATTTAAACTTGCATATCAACTGAATTTGAGAATAGCTGCTGATGAAAACCCACTTTTACACTAATGATGCAACTTCTGATCTGTCCAGAGACAAAGAATGCAGTGAGCCAGCACTGCTGGCTCCTTTATGCTACCAGAAAACATCTTTGGTAGTGAGGAGGAAAAGACCCATGATGGGCTGTAGGGTTGGAGGCAGTGGAGAAGAAAAAGAAACGCTTGGTCTGGAATGGACAAAATCATCAGTTTTCAAATGGATATAAAAAATTTCCAGTGTGAGCAATATCTGTCTGGGCTGAGCTCATGCTCTGCTGAATGATACTGACTTACATTGATTATTATCATTTGAGTTTACCAGCTCTATATGAGAAGTCAAACATTGTCAAGTTTTTATTCTTCTGTCATCCAACAGAGACTCAAATTTACAGGCTAAAGAGGTGGTAAACTAATGATAACATGCTCAGTTCTGACAAGGACAGCAGGTCTGGTTGTAAAAAGACACACTGGAAACTTATTTTTGAGCTCTGATTTAAGAGTGTTAGCAAACCCTTCAGCCTATTTATTTTCCTGACACCCAAGATGTCAAGCTGTGCCTGCTCCACTGAAAAGGCAAACTCACATTTTGAGCTTACTTCCACTGAATATTTATGACCTATTTTTTTACACTGACATAGTTCAAAGTAGTGAAGTAAATCTAACATTCATCAAAATTTATTTTTCTATTCCATTCCCTACATTCTAGGATAAACGCTTCCCCATTCCATGCCGCTAACCAACAAACATTCATGACAAACTTCATCTCCTATCTTGTTGAGCCTTTCCATCTAATGGTGCAAATCATAGTAGTCCTTTTTGATCTAGAGATCAAACAGCTTCATCCTGGATGAGAGCCAAGACAGGTTCAGTGTGTGCATAAAGAAGAATGGACATGATGGGGAGCAACTCAAATCTCTGCAATGTAAGGAAAAGGTATCTGAGGCCATTTGAAAGCCTGGTTTTAAAAATAAGTGCAGGATGTTGACATTACTGTGTTATATATTGGTTTAGATATGGACAAACAGCCTAGATCTTTCCCTATTGACTTTTTCTTCGTAGCTGATATTCCACAGGCTGTAGTATTGTAATTTGCATCAGGATCAAGTCAATATTTCGTTTCTTCTGGCCCTGTAGTTAGCATATTTTTTCTGTAAGTCTCTGCTCAGATACCACTAGGTTGAGTGCTACAGAAACAAACTATGTCAGTAACAAGGTCTTTGGAGACCTTCCTAGGCCCCATATTCAGAGCAGTTCTACATTTATCCCAATCCATAACTGGGCTACCCTGGACCATCATGACCCTCAGGGTCAATATATATAGAAGAGAAATTTCATATAGGTCTCCACAGTGATGGCAGTTCTCTTACCTGCATGCTGGTACTTTATCTAGAACTCAGTAATGTACATGAAGAATTCTAGGGATTGTTTTTCTAGGGTGCATCACTGTGTCTTACTTATACCTAAATTTCACTTGTTATCACTCTGCTCATTGAAGGTATCTTTGAAATTTCTCCAGCATTGATAACAACTGCATTTTTGTTTACTTTGCTAACTTATTACCATCCAACTTTTCAGATTGTTAATAAGATTAGAAAAAAGTGTTTTATGTCTCTGATGGTTCTCCCATGGAAAATTTCCTCTACAACTAATCTAAAAAGAAGAGATATAAAAACCCTCAAGCACTTAACAGAATAATCCATATAGCCTATCCTCATATATGCTGTACCATTAGAATAATAACAAAAAAATAGTTTCAGCTTCTCAATTTTATGCTAGAGTGTATACTAGCCCTCCAATATCACCTACCTTAATGGTGAACTGTCTCTCCCCTTACCCCATTCCAATAGTACAACTACCACTGACTTAACTGAGCCAAGATTTCAATCTCAGTATTTACCAATCAGGCACATTTTTGAAAAGTATTAAGCTACAAAGTCTGATTTCAGACCCATAAAATGTGATCTTGTATTATTCTGTGTTTAACAACCTTCATTATATAAACTTTTACTTTCAGGATGCCTAGGAAGAAGTAATGGAACTAGAATATAGAGAGGATTGGACTCGAGACAAGAACCTATCTCTCTTAATTAATCTTTTTGCAAGTCAGAATGAAATCCTATACAGAACCTTTTACATCAGAGAAACAAGTTGTGAGGGAGCTAGAGATTTCCAACAGGTGTTTTGGACACATGAAGACTTCGTTTTATGTCAGGAGCAATGGGGCAAGAAGGAAGGCATGACAGGAGATTGAAAGGGAGTTGTCAGATTGCAATCAGGTCCTTTAATGTAAGCATGGAGTAAAACTCAAGTTACTCAGGCGTTACTTTTGCTTTCAGGTTCATTTACGTACCCCTACAATCACTTTGTTAATATAGCTTTTCCCTCCTGTTTTGTCCTGTAAAAAACATGCACAAGCAGCAGCAGAAGCAATTTGTGCACAACCTAGAGGGAAGCAGCTATGCACAGAAGTGTGAAGGAGGTGATCCAAAGTCCACAGGAATCACTGCAACTGTTTCTATTGATTTATTTCATCTCAGAGCATATAAATATAGTAAGTTCTGCCTCTTTTCAATTGTTATCAATTCTAAGGATTTTAAATTATTCTTGTAGAGTAACTAGGTATACTAAATTCCAACAGAAGTGTAATTAAAATCATGGTGCCACATCTGTTCATTAATGAGTGCCTTTGCAATTGTGCCAAGTCTGCGCCTTCATACTGCCACGTGTTTCAAAGCAGAGTGAAAGCAGAATCGCGCATTTCCCCTCAAATGACATCTTCTCATTTATTTCCAGTGACTAGTATCTCCATAACAGCCAGCTGATGAGTTTAAATGAAATTTGGGAGGCACCAAATTGACAGCACCAGAGATGTAAGGCCTCATTTTAACAGCTAAGGAAAAGATAAAACAGCACCAACGTATGAACAATTTCACTTACCATTGTGACAACTTGACTTTAAGGTGGAAATATCTATTAATGAGATAATTATATTTTCTACATCTAATTTACTCCTTATCCTTTCTAAAGCATATAGTAAATGTGAATGTCAGCTAGCAGCAGTAAGCTCTGGCCAGATGTCTGTGGAAGAATTAATATCCATCCACTGCTTTTGTACAGATGGCAACACTACTCCCTTCAAGCACACCCTACAAAGCTGTTGGCATTGGAAAAAAATAAAAAAGTTGCTCATGCTGCAGAACTGGTACTAAAAATCTTCATTTTAAATTATGCACGCTGAGATGCTTCTGAGTGAAATGACAACAGGTCTTGCTGGTGTTGTCAGCTGTTCAAGGAAAAATCTCCAGCTCACTAGACACGTGAGCTGCTGAGAGTGACAGAAGACAGGAAAGATTTGGCAGGGTCTAAGGAAATGCGAGCGATATAGCATCTGTGAAGTGAGAAGAAAAAGGCTTTCCCTCCCCTTTCCTGTTACCACTCCTTCAGTAAATTCAATGCATCCATGGGTGCGCTCCAGGCAGCAAGTGGCAGGCGGGGCTGGGGCTGCAGCCCTGAGCTCGATGGCTACTGAGACTCATGCTACTGTGAATGCTCAGAGAGCCTCTCCGCTCCCTCTGCCGCCCTCCTTCTTGGGTAAACACCTACTCTGAACCACCACAGAACACCCTCAGCTGAGGGGTCTACTATTTTGATTGCTTTTTTTCTTTGTAAAATAGCTGTGGAAAATTCTGTGCATGTCATTGTGATAAAAAGCTAAGGCATCTTACAAAATCTTAAACATCAAATCCAGGCTATTCAAGAAGACTGCTACCAAGATTGAGAATAATCATGTGTCTAACATTGCTCATTCTATTACCATTTATTCTCATACTTAAAAAAACCTTCTAGATGCCTGATGGTCCATATTTATAAACCGAATTAAACCAAAACCGACATTGGCTTAACAACACTTTCACAAACAAGAAATGTTGATGAAAGTTTGACCACCATGGACAAATGGTTAAAAAACATTACAGAGATAAGTTGTTAATACTGTGATATTAATATCTTATTGTAGAGTGGGAAATTAAAAATAAAAAACTTCAGTATAATTGTTGGCTCCTCAGTAAATAAGCAATTTCCATGGTGTAATTTGAGAAAAATTCCATATTTCTGTCCAGATCAGTATATTAAATGACAAATAAGAACCTTTCAGGATTGAATTATCAGGTACAAATACATTACTTTGTTTTCTAAAGCATTTTAAAAATTATATGACTCAGTAAATTTTTAAAATTGTATTTCTATGTGAAATTTTTCTCCATGGAAATTAAACACCTCCTGTTTTATGAAATGTATAAGTTTTATATGGCCTTAATCAATAACACTGTCTGTCTCCAGGGCCACTCTCTACAAATCTTTCTATCTGGAAACAATTTTGACAATCAATAAAAGCAAAGGTTTCTATCAGTTACAGGACTTATAAAAGGGGAAATTAATATGTTGGACCAATTGCATGCTCTGTATAACCCTTCCCAGTGGCCAATATATCAATATCTTCAGTGATCCCAATACATATATAAGACTTTATTAATAGGCCTTTGTAGATTCATTTTTCTCTCTTCAAGTGGAAAAAAAAAACATTAATGCCCAACAATAGTTATGTCAACATGATCAGTAAAGGTTCTGGCTCTCTCTATATGCATAAAAAATATGTAATCCTCTATTAGCACATGCAAGCCTATTTGAAGACATGATTTAAAAGGACTATAAGAATTTAGAATCATATCTCAGCTTTCTCAGTGTTTCTTCTTTGCAGCTTACTTCCAAGATGGACACAAATTCGGACTGTGGTGATGTGGCTGGGCTGAGTTTAAGGGAGGTGGTACAAGAGAGACATCCAACCATTACCACTAGTGCTGCTGAACACAGTAGCACACTCAGTGACTATGAGCTCTGCTCCATGCCAATTGTAAGCATCATTAAACTTCATCCAGGACCCCTTCTGTGGTTGCTTTTTGGAAAAAAAAAAAAAAAAATAGAACTAGCTGTCTAGCTGATGATAGCCGTTTTTTCACCAAAGCCATACTTTGAGGAGGAAGAAGAACTTCAGTGGATAAACATGCAACCATGTCTCCCCAGCTTCCACAGATTTCTCTCTTCCTTTTTTTCTCAAATATTTTGCAAACCCTTCATTGGAAGTTATGGTGTCAGGAAACTCTAGAAGAAAACTTCCTTCATTCTCAGTTCCTCCTACAAGCTCCTCCATAGGTACTCCTCTGAATGTAGTGGCACCATGAATGAAATTGATTCCCATGACCTCAGGATCAGTTTTCAAAAACCACATGAATTAACTGAGCTTTTCATGGTTTTGTCAGATGAGAGATAACCTATGCTCAAAGTACCTATAAACGTGACATACTAAAAGCAGGAGAGTCTTACCTAACAAGGTCCAGTGGTTGGTATTTATACCATACTCCCCAGGAAGCCCAGCACTCGTAGAGCAGGTGTCTGTGGTTTTCTGCCCCATGTGTTCTTATTGAATTCTTACTTCTGTAACTTCCCTAAAATACAAATCTGGACATTAATGAACAACAGCAGCAAAAAAGAATATCTAAGAGATCTCTCTCAGTAGTGGTATGAATAACATAATTTGTGCAAATTCCATACTTGTGCACTGAAAGCTAAATATGACATTAAAAAGACAATTTCTTCTGCCTTCAGTCAGATATGAGATTATTCTTCCTAAAAAAATTTAAATAAATGGTGTTCCAAGTCAAAAGCTATGAATTAGAGAATCTCAAAGAGAAAACCACAATATAGTATTTTTTCCTTCTGAAAATATACTGATTTATCAAACTGAAATACTTTTTACAGAACGGATCCAGAATAAACTCTCTTTACCCATTTCTTTTTTGCTAGAAAAAAAGCTTTTTTTTTTCCCAATAAAAAGACATTACTAAATGGGAGGGATGTCAGAGGCAGATGCAGAATGAAAAAGAGAATAATAACATTAATAAGATTGAGAATAAATGATTACACAATTAAGAATTAATTTTGTGGGAAATGTCTGTTAAAAAAAAAAAAAAAACAAACTGAAAAACATACCTCATGAAGAGGAAATGCAGCTTCATAGGAGCCATTACTGAGCAATCGATTCAGACCTAAGAATGAAAAGTATCCAATTATTTATCAACAGAACCAGAAAAACTAGTAAGTAAAAAGCAAAACACATTTTCATAATAAGCTGGCTAAATGAAGTTTGAAGCCCATTGGCAGTAAAAGATACATGTAGAAAAAATAATCTTTTATAGATTTTGATGAACTAAGATATAATGCAGGCAAAGACTTGTTCAAATATTAATAATAATCTATCATTTATTATGCTGGTCATTTAAAGATTCATTTGTCAAATCCATCTTTAGCATAACTTCAGTAAAATCAGGGACCTTACACCAGGATTTAAGTTTGACTCATCAAGGAAGCTATTTAGATGAAAGGCTGTATTTCTTGGGAGCCAAAAACTTCAGTGAAGATCTTTATGTTTTTGAACTGCAGACCAGTAAAGCAACTGAAACTCTTCTTTTCCATATGATAGCAATGTTGTAAAATGTGTTCAGTTTATGTCTTACAAAAGCTGCTGGACTAACAGATAGAACAAGAACAAGACAGGCTGCAGTAGTACAAGACCAGAAAATATACTTAAACCTGAACAAAAATATTGCTATTTGGCACAAAAAAAATAATCGTACACCTTCTTTAACAGGAACTTTGAGAGAAATAGTGAATGACTGCTGAGATGTGGCCACTTTTCACTTGTAAAGTCATCAAAATAGGACTGACCAACAATTAGGCAATGCAAAACTAACTACTGTCACTAACAATCTGAAGACATTTGAACCTCATTGACCAAGAGGCAAAGAGTCCTGATTCCTTTCCAAATTCACAGGGGAATGATAACAGCAAGAATACAGCAGTGAAAAGTATTAATTCAACCTAAATAACACTTTCAGTGATTTTATTAGTATCTGCTTAGCAGAATATGCTTTCTTCCAAAGTCTCTAGTAGGAAAGCAAAACAGGTACAGCCAAGTCAGGCTTTGCTCTGATCAGTAATTGATGCAAGACTGTCTTCATGATAGGTACAACATAAGTAGATACATGAGGGAGCTTGGGATCTTGAGGCAGCTAGGGACTGCAAATATGTGTGCCAAATGCAATGGCTGCATGCACCACATGAATTCTTCCCTTTCTTCTTTCCCCTCTGCTCACTGTCACTGCTCAGAGCTATTGCTGCCCTCATCCCAGGAGCTGAGGAAGAAACAAGTGAAATTCTTGGATGCTTCTCTACCTCTTGAGGAAGGACAGGGTTTAAGCGGAAGGGAAATGAAACAGGCTGCAGAGTTTTGTGGGGATTGCCTCTCTGTGATGACCCAGTCTCTATGTGATACACAAGCAGTATGTGCTCTGTCACAAGACAGAAGAGAGCTACTGTTTTGTACTCCAGCCCTCTTCTGTCACTGCCTGCTCTCCTGGATCCACATATTTGCCGCTCCAAAGGTGCACTGCCCCCACGATTTGAAAGTGATGCACCATAGTTGTGCATGGCTTCCTTTTCACTGAGGTTCACCAGTGAACTCCCTTATGACTTACAACAGCTACAGAGATACAGAACCTTCCATCTCCTTTAGGAATAGACAGGTATCCAAGGAGAAGACTTACAGGCTGAGATGTACAGCAGCACAAATTTTGCCATCCTTCCAAATACATTTTTATGAAGGAGCAAAAGCTTCTCTGCATGAGTCTATCTGCTTCTCCAGCATCCTTAATCTGTACATATTTCTTGCTTAAATCAGTCTCTTTCCTCGCAGAGGTGCTAAATCCCATGTGGTGACATGTGCCTGTGAAAGCAGCCTGATACTACAGGGAAATAATCAGGTCTTCCAGGCAAAGCCGCTACAACAGTAGTGGGTGAGATGTAAACAGCTCCTAACTGAGGTGGTTAAAAAGGAAGCAGAGTCTGTTATGAGCCCAGGCAGACTTCTCTTTTTTTGGTGGGACCCATGTTTGAAAGCACATTGCTCAGCACTTACCAATTTTATTCTTCCCTTCTTCGTATTTCATTCTTTGTAGGATATGGTGTACAATTCTACTTCTTGTAGCATTATTGAAGAAAGTATCTTTGTTGTGTATGATGAAGCTATATAAAAATACAAACAGAGGGCATCTAAGGAATATACACGCGTTTAAAGCAAATATTGAGTTCCATTACTTTCTATAGCATGCTAAAAATCTACAGTATGTGAGCAAGTGCAAGGAAGATTAAAGGACACCAGATTAAGTGAGATGATTCACCAGATGAGATGATGTCAGTAACAGTATTCATTCCATAACAAAGAATTATAGGGAGAAGTCTGGACAAAGATCAAAGATATTTAAGCATTCATTATGATAAGCATCACTTTTAGATAATTCACTGAAAACTACAAAATACTTGCACAAAAATTTGCAAAAGCATAAGATTTGCAAGTGCAGCTGTAGAAATTAAAATTTGATTTCTATTTCAGGCTTCTTTTTATGCTTTACCATTACGAGTCAGATGGAAACATCTACTTGGTAAACCACTCTTACTGAAAATTAAATACTATGTTATAAAACACTATATACTTCTATGTTTGGTCCTGGAAGCTAAAATAGAGTAGAAAATTAGCTTTCAGAAGCTGTTTATGGAGTTACATACGAATGCAGGTTCAATAGTTTAGACAGAATTGTGATGAGTCCAGCAAACTTAAAAAAAAAAAAAAAAAGCCACAAAATATATTGTATTGATTAGATTGGCTGGCATAATGTATTTTATATAGATTGCTTAATCCCAATATACATACTCAAGGAAAACAAGATATTTTAGCATAATTACTGGAAAAATGCAAGCAATATATGCTTTTACAAAAGACTGTTTCAACTTGTCAATTAAATACTGCTAAAGAATTCTTACAGTTGCTTGAGGTTTGTAGGGCTTCAGGATAGATTGTGACAGTGATTTAGACACCTGAATAAGCAGGTAAGTAGATGGAGTTTCTGATTAAGTAGTCGTGTGCACTTATCAAGGAAATTAAATATTTTTTTTTAAATGTGGTCCTTAGTAACTTACTGAATAGAAAGGTTCATATTTTTAAAAATACTTTGGATAAGAGGTAAGATTGTTTTCCTCTTCTGTGTTGGTGAAGATCTAGAGAATTGAATAGACTGAAAATAAAATGGTAAAATCATAGAGATGCCATAGAGAGACCAGCCTGTAGGACTGCACACTAGACAAATCCGATTTTAACAGAGATCATCTTACTAGGGAGCTTGGTATGGATTTATGTCACCTTCTCTTCTGCATAACATGGGATCCACTGTTCAGTTTTCTCCTCAGATAATTTCAGCAGGTTTAGAAAACCTGCTCTTTCAGAATGAACCTTCACCCACGGAAAATCATACCTGGCTTTGCACCTTCACAGTCATTTGGAAAAAAAGGCAAGGAGTCCAACTTCTGGACTTTGGGGACTCCATATGATCCCTGTTTATTTTCAAAATTCTCTGCCAAATATTCCATACAAGACAATCTCTAAATTCCTTATGTTTGGCTTCAAAGGCAGATAGAAAAAAATTTGCAAAGTAAAGGTATAAAAGACAAGCTGCTCCAAGAGCACCATTATTAATGAAACCTGGTTTTCTAGAGGTTACTATCTCACGTCTCCTTTCCCACTCCACCTCAGATACTCACAGGTCATTTCTGTGAACAGTCTACTCAGTACTGTATTCCCAGCCCTCTTCCACATCCTCACTATTCCCACAGCCCTACGCGTGCCCTACAGTACCTACTGAAAGTAATATGATTTATACATATTGGCTGACCACCATGTGTGTGCCAATTTACCAATGGGCTGCTATCACACAACATATGCAATTGGTGTGCACGCCACTGCCTTTTCTGTATAGGTACCATTTTGGGCCATTATGCCATTTCAGGCTGCTAATACTCACAAAGGAAATAAGACTGTCCTTATCTTTGAGACAGCTACACCTGTACTAAATTTAGTTGAAAGTAATCAGTATGTAAAATAATAAATATTAGAAGGACTTTGACAAAAAAGGAAATATTGTCATCACACAAGTCTTAATTCTTTATTAAATTCGATTAAAAAAATAACCTAAACTCTGAAGCAGATAGAACAGCATTATTTCCAACTGAAGCTGGAGCTCTCTGTTAGGCCATTTTAGTAGCAGCAGAAACAAATTAAAAGACAGTAGTAAACTAGGAATGAACAGTTAGCGTTTTTGCCCACTTTGTTTCATTTTCTTTTAATGTCTGCCTTTCCCCTCCAAGATCTCACCTCTCAGGCAGCACTGAATGTTAAAGAACTGTGAAGGGAACTTATGAAATCAAAACAGCATAGTAATTTTCATTCTGATTTAGCTATGAGTTCTTGTAGGACTCAACTGAGAATTGAAACACTTTATCTGGGAAACTAGCAACATTGATCCAGGCAACACCAATAATGTCAATCTATTCTCCTTGTGATATAAGGTTATCTTACCCACCCGTTACCATGACTGCATACTGCAACTACAGGTAGTTATTTCAACAGCTTTTCTTAACAAGTAGTTTAATAGTTTTTCTGCATTTAGTCACTTCTATTTTCATAAGTCATAAATGAAAAAAAGGCAAAAATCAAACATTATGCAATCTTAAAAAGAAATAAGAACTACTTGTTTAAGGAAACACTTTACTCATTTGCATTTATTTACAAACTTAGTGTTTGTGTTGTTACAGTTTTTGATCTCATGTGGCCAAAAAGGAACAACTACATGTGCCTGTGAAGCAGATGTCAACACCTCAGTATAATGACTGACATGAAGAACTTTGCCTATTTCAGAACTAGCTGAAGCAGTCCTAAAACATGTGTGAGTGTAAGAGCTGCAGAGGTTCTGCCCTGCCCATCCTTGTGCCAGTAGAAGGCATGTAGGGGCAGGATGGTGAGAGGAGATGGAGAACTCACCATGACTAGAGTAGGCCATGTCCTTCAGTGTCTTCCAACATTGCTCATGGAGACATGGATGCAGAAGAGACGATAGAATTCATCAGTGGTGAAAAAAGAGTGCCAAAATGAGTCCTCTGTATGTCCTGGACTGTCTCTCACAATATAATTGTTCTGGGATGGAATTGCATGCAGTAAAGGTTAAAAATAATCCTCATCTATTTTTGAATATAAAAATCACAGGGTTTTTTTGTTCTTTTGTTTAAATCAAATATGCAGATTATTTCTGTGAAATTGTCTGTAGAGCAGCCCCAGAAAGAGCAGTATCATCATAACCAAGGGGTCAGGGAGCTCTGGCACAGAAAACAAAAATAGGCAGACATGAGTGGGAGACATTGAAAAGTTGAGAATATCTCAAGTAGTTGTTACTATGTGTTAAAACATCTCAGAGATTGACATAAATTAGGACAATGCCAAGGAGGTTTACATTTTTTGCAAAAATCACAGAATTTGCTCTTGTCAGGTGAGAATCATGCAGTTCAGTGTAGGACTTATCCCTTTCTACTACCACCCTTCTCTCCCATGCTTTAAGGACATTTCTTCCTCCAAAATTTCTATGCTCCAGGTTGTCTTCTTTCTGAATGTGGGTGGAAAATCCATATTCACAGAATAGCCATCAAGGCTATTTCATGGTCTGCAGCATCCAATGAGGAATTCAGAGGAGAAAGACTTTTTCAGTCTTTGGAGAATCTCACCCTTCAAATTTCAGTTCTTGGGGGCCAGAGGTGCACACATTTCCAAACTAGGTGTAGATAAATATTAATTAGACATTAGAGACCTATGAGCTGCATAAGACAGAGGCTTTCTAGAAAGCTTTTTAACTCCTGTTACTTTCAGATAGAACAGTTTCCTCAGCTGTTCTGTTTCTGCTGCCCTTGTTAGAATTTCAGTATGCACAAGGGTTTGAATATTTGTAAGAGCAATAAAGCTTGTTTTCAGGCTATGTAAGGGTTTAGGCTTTATTTAGGAGACATTTCATTGAAGGTTTCGATCACTTTGTCACCTCATTTGTAAGATAAAAAATAAGTAAGGATTAATACACTATTATTTTTATTACCCATTAAGTTAATGTATAGGTAGATAATAAAGCCAGTGATTTGTTCCACAACAGTTAAAAACATTAGCCTGGTCCTGTAAGCCTTATTTGTGTGAGCTGTCCTTACTCAAAAGGAAAATCCCAATGAAGATAATGAGAGCACTTCTGGCAGGAAAGGTTCCAGAGTTGATCCTTAATTAAAGTCCCTTTTAAAAATGTCATTGTGGAAATATTGCTCTTACTGTAAGCGACATGAAGAGTCAGTGAAGGTTAATTGCTTTGAAATTATATTTGTAGCTTTCTTAATTAGACTCTGAACTGGAGATTTCAAACTATCTTTCCATGGATAACAAAGCACAGCAAAGCTAACTGTCCTGTAAAGAAGGCCCTCAAATTAATGCAAATTCAACCAAGAACAAACTGACAATTAATTCCTGTTCATACATCCTCTTCAGTAATTTTGCAGGTTGTACAAACCCTTTAGGGGGGTAAATTTAGCTCCTGAATCTTTGTCTAACAATCGTTTGAAAAAAATGGTTTTCCTTTTCAATTCATTTTGTAGATGCAAAAGGCAGGAAAAGGCTATTTCCTGCTGTACTGGTAAGATATACAAGCTGCAAGCTGAACACCCATTGCCTGGTTACAAAGCTACAAAGTGAGGATGTGTGCATGCATGTATCAGTGTGCATCTTTGCTCCATGAGATTCCCAGACACTGAAACATTTCATGTCTGACACTCACCATACCAAAATGTATGTTCCAAGCAAATGCCTGCTGCTGGAAGCAGTACAAACTAAAAGCACAGATATTGTCTCAAGTAGTAATCACTATATGAGAAATGTATTCTTCTGTACAGAAAAAATGCCCAGCTGTCTGTACTGCCAGGTAAGCCACTGGCAGTAGAGAGCTGTTGTTGGCTGAGGCAATAACAGGTTTTTACTTCATTTAACATCAAAGAAAATCATCATCTGTAGTAGAAGCAAGATGAGCCTGCAGTATTCCAGTGAGAATATTACCACATATCTCTGTAGTTTATTAGTTTGAAAATGGGTATATTATCACTTTCTGTTTATTTTAATT